AATTTATTCAGGCTATGATAGTAAGTTTGGCAATAGCCTAAGGTAGCTCTACTGAAAATGGTGGAGTAGTAGTTTTGTTTTATCTTCTGATATGGATTTAAACTATCAGAGGGAGCCATACTGAGTCCAGCAGTCCTTTTAACAGCTCTTAGTTTCTTCATCTCTTGACCAACACCTGGAGGCTTTAGTAAATTAGTGGAATGTGAAGAACAACTTGAAGAAAATATTTTCTTACAGCCTATCTTTGTGATTTAAGTAGTAAAGAATGAGGAACTGTGAAATTTTATGTGTAAAGACTTAACTGTCTATTTGCTTTATGTTTTCAGTCTGATTCCTGTACAAATAGAGATGTCAAGGCAATAGGAAAGTCAGTTTTCTTCTGCTGTTTCTTCTTTTTTTGCTGTTCAGTTCATTGCTTTGATTTTGTTATTGTTGTTTAAGTTTTTCTTGAACTCCATTAAGGCAAGGAAAATAGCATTGCAAAAAGTAATGACATAACAAGAAAATGTGCTTGGATGATTTGCCACATCCCAAGCAAGCTATATCACCATAAACTTATTATTACATCAGTGATGGGGTGAAATTGTTACCAAACTGTGTATGAACTTAGTACCAATACGGGTACTAAGCTGTCTAAAATCAAGCCCATGCTGGTTGTGTTGATTTGCTTCTTGTCCAGGGATGAAGACTGGTAATTGGAAAAAAAGTTACAACGGACAAGTTTTATTTAGGAAACTTCTTCCATCTCAAGCTCCCTACAGCTAACACAGTATTTCATATATGGAGCTAAAATTTGGATTTGGTTGCAAAGCCTGCCTTTGTAGGACACTAGAGACTCGAGATTTGAGTGAAATCATTTTGTTTACTTAGATTTAAACCAAGAAATGTGAACTAATACAAGAGTAAGAACAAAACTGAAATGTCTGAAGTACAAGACTTAAACACTGTACAAAATTCATATCATCATCCAACACACATTCCATTTCTAACCCATCAGTTTTGGGATTCATTCAGGAAATACTTAAAAACAGTCTTTTTTTTTCTTTTTTTTTTTTTTTAATGAGTTCTATTGAAAATGTTCTAACACTTGTGCAAAACATAATGATGATTGTCTGTTTTATCTTGTGAGATATTCTTGAAATACAGTATTTGTTAATTAACAAGTTAATAGATATTTTTCTTCTGTGACTTACTTTAATTGTCTGTTTATGCCGGAAAATTTAAATGTGCCACTCTACCACTTCAAGGAATATTTCAATAGTAATGATAATTGCTTGGTTTTTTTCCCCCTCTGTCAGTAAATATGAGAGTAATAAATGCAGCACAGAAATATGACTGTAAATTGATCCTTTATTTTTATTTCCACATTTTAATGATTAGTCTGTTCAATAGGAATTTTGCTATTGATTCAGAATTTATGACTGGGATCAGTCAAACTGGCTTTACCAAAGTCAAAAGCATATCCAGGGCTTCAGTAATAGCAGAAGTAGGTCTTGTAATTGTTAGAAAATTGTTTCAAAATGTCCAATTCTGTTTTTGCCCTTCCAGACTAGAGGTTTTTTTTCAATCTACTTTACCTGACAGGCATTATGTGCTATGTTTTATAGTTAGTAGTTTATGTTCAAATCTGCCCTAAATAATTTTGTGAAAGATATGCCTTGAAGATAAACAATACTAATTGTGAATAGTAGCAGAAATCTGTTTTGCATACATCAGATGATAACTATCACATCTTTTAGCCAAATTTTGCTAAGTCAATTTTCTTCAGCAAGGGCCAAGTTTAAGTTTAAGAGGGCCTATTTTTTTTGCTCAAGGATCATCCAAAACTTTGAGAAAGTAATAGTAAAGTTTATCAAGTTCAGTGACAAAATTTTTCCCGTTTTTAAGCACAAGCCAAAGGGATTAGCAATCGGCATTTTGAATAAAGGAGGATAGAAAAGTCCTGACAAAATAGTTAAGCAGGGTGGAAAGCAGTACCTAGCATAAAACTATAGCAATAACGAATTTACAGTCTTCTGCAGAGGAGGCACTACTGCAGTGTTTTCTTTCCCTTCCTAAGGTAGCCTTCATTCAAAATTTAGGGTTCTTGAATCTTGTAAGGCAACATTACTTCCTGGGCAGTTTCTACTTTCTCACATAACATGTAAAACCCTCTTTTCCAAAAACCGAAGACCTCTTTTCTATTTTCTGACCTTTGTACCACATCTTGAAAGCAAATATCTTAGATAAGGCTAACACTCATCAAGCACAGTTGAAAATTCTTAGGTGACCTTAACTTATCTACACTCTTGCAGATACAAACATTATTCCTTTATGCTAAGGCTCCCTTTTAAATGGATTTTTTTTTCCTCCAATATATGAAACAACACTTGCAAAATAAACATATTTTTAGGTTTATCCATCAGTCCTTTCCATTTACTGTTCTTTTGCTCTCCCAGTTGTCAGCCACACTCATCTTCTAGTTCGGCTTTCTTTCCCCTGAGGAATTCTTGTGGTGGGAGAGGTTGCCAGAGATTTGCTTTCACTTTGGGCCTTAGCCACTAATATTACCCAAAGTTAATGTATATATAATATGATACAGACAGTAACTTTTCTACCATGTTCTGACCATGCACCAGCTGGGGAATGCTGCAAAGTAATGTCCTCTAAGCAAATCTAAAAGCCCACATATCAACTTCTGTTTAGTGGTGGGGTGACATTACAAGAGATATAAGTCTATACCCAAACCTCTATTTCTTTGCCAGTTGGAATTTTTCCATGCAGTAGAATATCTACTGAAGCAGATGCCAGAGAACCTTCTGTTTTTTCAGTAAGGCAAGGCTACAAGGGTTTTTTTCTTAGTAGTTTTATTTTCTGTCTCCAACAGTCATGGAACACTTCTGTCTGTGATTAACTGATGGCCACAATTTGCTGGGTAAGTTGTGGCATTTCAGTGACTGCTGTAAGACAATCTTCATGTGAGTAGCTATACAATGAAAAATACCATGTTTTAAGTTTCTTCAGGATTACACTATCATTTCTGAGGAATTTTGCTTTTTTAAAGATTATTTGTTTGTTTATTTTCATCCTCCTTCATGAGTCAGCAGAGTGAGTGAAATATAGTTGTTCCTTTCTGAGAAGGATTTCTGTATGTTAGTTTGATTGATTCTGTGATTTCCTTAATTGGTTAAGTATGGTTTTATGTTCATCAGGTAGTAGAAAAGTTGAAATGTTAAAGGAGCCAGAGGGAAATGATTGAGAAGGTCTTTTGGAAGATGACAGTTCTGCCTTGTAATACAATACTGTTTCTCATGGGAGTGGGTGGGAGGCCTGCCTAAATTTCCTCTTCCTGTCCTGCCAAATTCCCCAAATTGCATAACTGTGTATTCTCCTTACACAGTGGTACCCTTGGCATCCCTAGAAAATCTGCAGGGAAGCAGGGAAACAGCTGGAGGCTTGAGAGTGGACCAAAATTGGTAGAGGTCAGACTTGATTAGGCAAAAAAACTGAACAAACCCACAAACTGAATTTACTAACTCTCCCATGTATAACTCAACAACACAATACAGATTTAATAACATACACTATTTTGTTCTAAATGCACTCCATCTAGGAAAAATAAGTTTATCGGGATAAGCAAAGGACCCATGGGGAGTTCATCAGTTCAGTTTCAAGTCACAGGATGTGTTTTACTTGGCTTTGGAGCCTTCTTGTGCAAGACTAATGTTAAACTGCTGAAATGCAAACTGACAAAAAGACATATTTTTACTGGTTGGTGCTTTTTCCTCTGCCATTATTTTCATTGGGAAGCCTCGTCAGTACCTCTCACATCACCTCCATCTTAGACTGACAAGAGTATGAGGTACTTCTTGGCTTCTTTGAGAAAATGAAAAAAAGGCTGTTGGAAGAGCGACCTGACCAGCATATCTCATAAGGATATAACCCTGAAGGCTTTTGTTTTGTCACTACACTGAATAAGAAGAGAAGAATTTGAACCGAATTATAGAAAAGCATCAAGTATGGTTATCCAGGGGTAAGGTTTGCCCTAGTAAGGAAAGAAAGATGCCTCCTTTGGAAAAAATATTTTTGTTTCTTAATATTTTAAGTAGTGAAATTCATTACTTTTGAAACTTTGTTAAGCTGTGCTGGAGCCTACCCTAGCCATGTATTCAGACTGACTATCACTAAGAGAATAAAAAAGCAAGTACACCCATAGAGATTTTGATAATCCTGCTCTGACTTTCTGCATACAGCACTTTAATAGGCTCAGTACCATTGTTGGGATTATTTGAGAGATCAGGTACTACTCAGCATGTGTAATGATTGGAGAATCTGGCTCCAAATGGTTTCTTTTTCTCTCATTGCTACAGGAACTGGAAAAAGGCAAGGATGTGTGGGCGGGCCTGGAGTTCCTCCAAGGAAAGTGTGAGGCCTTGGGCAAAACAAATCCGTCAGGTCTCTCATTTCTTCCAAATATAGGTCTGTTCTGAACAATAGCCAAACTCAAGTATAAAATCCACATTCAACCGTTTCAGAGGGAATACATGAAAAAGACCCTATGGTCTACAGAATCCATCTATAGAAAATATTTTGTTAGCTCTTTTGCTCTGGCATTATCTTCCACTTAAAAAGAAAGAAAAAAGAAAACACACAAAGGTGGTGCACGTTTCAATTTGAAATGTAATGTAACTGGTTGATGAAAGTAATATTTCTAAAAACAATCTGTTGTCAGCTATCAAGCATTTTTGCCTATGTACCATTTGGCAGCAAATACACAGATAAATTATTACAATATGTAACCAAACATTGCTCTAAAGAAAAACAGTATTTGTAAGTGTGTAAAAGCAAGATAAGTAGAATTAAATCCATAAAAGAATGTTGAGAGATCATCATACATCACAGCAGAAATATAGCAAAAGTAAAGGAAACCACTTCAGCAGTCCCTGTCTGAATCTCTAGCAAAATAGGCTTTACAATACAAAAATATTTTTCTGAAGTAGAATAGAAAAATCCTGGGCTTCAATGAAAAAGAAAGAACTTGAAATGTTCCTGCTGTTTAGAAGAAGGAGACCATAGCCATTTTGCCAAGACATTTCCAAATTTGTTAGGTATCGCCACATTTTAAGAAAATGGAGCCACTACAGCATCCTCACAGATCTTGAATTCTCTGCGAGTGTCCATGAAAGAATTTTCTGAAGTGCTTATGGACATGAAGATTTAAGTGACAAAATCCCATTAACCCAGTCCCAACAAGAGAGTTTCTGTAGAGCCTGGCACATTGACAAATTACAGTGAGATAAGCTCTGTATGAAATAACAGCATGTGAATTGCTCTGCTGTAACTTTCTGTGTACATGCTTTTATTCCATGGTGACCAGTTAAGGCAGAGTTGATGACTCCTTTTCCAAGAGCCAAACCACCTCACATTTACATCAGAGTTCAGGTCATGTATGCTGTCAGTTAGTGGATAGCAGCGAGCAAACTGTAAGCTTGCTATCTCCCTTAATTTAAATACACTTTTGAAAATACAAGCAAAGTTTCTTAGCTGCACAGGATAAATCTACATTGACGTCTATGGAATACTGTCACCCAGGTTCAGTCATGAGATCCATATAGCTCCTGTTTATGCCATCACCTGTAACCTGTTTCGACATTAGTGCTAAGCAAAGAGGGAATCTTCCCAGGCATGAGCCTACTCTTCTTTTCCTAAATTAGTTGCTATTTGTGAACAGTGGAAGATGGAAATGAAAGGACAATTAAAGGATTGTTTCTGTGAACTGTGACTCACAGAGTGTAAATAAATTTCAGGCACATCTGAGAAAGAGATCAGAGTGGGAGGCAAGATGAGTTGCAGCACATACCTGAAGTTGTATCCATATAAAAGCTATATTGCTTCTGGTATTTGATCTTAGAATGTATTGATGTTTAGCACCTTTGTAATTTTGATTATTACTGCAATCATTGTAATGCCAAAAACAAACAAACAAACAAACAAAAAACAACAACAACAAAGAAAACCCCACAAAGATGTTTTAAGGTGTCCAGGACTGTTTGAATCCCATGAAAAATTAGTGAGACATTTTTTCTTGTAGGCTTCTTTGAAGGTTTTTCTCCACATCCATCTTTTTATTCCCTGGAATCTTAATTTCTTTTTCAAATCAAACAGGTATGTTATAGAGCCAGAGAGAGTATCACAGTCCTCATAGTTTCTATCTTTTCTATCTTTTTTTAGTCAATGGACACATATTCTGTGATGTTAAATATGACAGAAAATTATTTAGCCACATTTGAACTAAGTAAGATGACTGCTGAAAAAATAAATGGCAAGAAGAAATAAAAGGTCTGTCTTATAAACTCTTGTACTTGTACATTGTAAGAGAACCACTCATAGTTTATTAGCACAATAGCTGATCATAATTACTAGGAGAAATGAGTTAGCTGCAAGGACTGCAGGCAGGTAGCCAGCCCAAAAGATTGTGATCATGTCATTTAAGCGAGACTTCGTGACTGAAGAGTTACTGTGCTACTTCATGGTAGATAACTTCAGAAGGTGACAAATAACTTCAAAAGGTGAATTAAAAAGTTACATTTAAAATAAGAGATAAATACACAACAAACAGCTGCAGCTCATATCACCTACCAGAAATTGGAGTAATTTGGTGTTGTTTGCCACTGAAGCATATTCAATAGGAACTCATTAATGTGGCTAAGTCAGCAGCCTGAATTACAGTGAAAAGATTTGCTTGACAGAGCTGTTTGTGGGATGAAGATTTTAGCATGCAGCTACAACTTCACTAAATTTTCAAATGCTGGAACTGCCTACATATGTATCAGTGCCAGGCGAGAAGTACTGCTGCAGTTTTAGGAGAGGTTTTCAAGGGACAGGCAGAGGTTTTTCAGGTCCTCTTTCAGTCGACTGACTTCCCTCTTGACTTTCTGTGGTGTATCCAGAACCTCTATACTGCTGGTGAATGGGTCGTAGCACAGAGAAAAAGGCTTCTTGATCTTCATTGCATAGTTTCTGTGAGGAAAGAAGACAGATTTGCTAGTTCAAAAACTATTTCACTACATGCAGGACCTAGTTTATCAGTATGTAGGCATAGATTTCTCAGGCTGACTATGGTTGCTGTGACATCTTCCTTACTGTCACTCCTTAGAGTTTTCTGGTGCAGTATATCCTCCCTGCAGCTGAAGTGTTTTGCAGCCCAAAAGATCTGCATTGCCTGCTTTTTCAGTGTGGCTGGCTCAGATCCTTCTGCGCTCTTACAGCTCTATGTTAACACAGCTCAGAGTTATTACAACCACAAGCTACAGGAATGCAGAAACACAGCATGTCTGCTGCCTTCACTTCCAAGAAATAACCTGAAGTAGCTCTTACTGCTTAAAATCTTAAAAATCTATCCATACTAGGCATCCTGGGCTATTTTGCCATCTGCATGGAAAGAAAAAAAAAACACAAAACCCAACTACACCCACGATTGCTTGCCATTTTTGACAATGTTTCCATTAAGTACAGGCTGATAGGAACCCCCTGTACTGATGTTGCCTTATGTTTTCCGTTCTGACAGATTCTTGAGTCTTCTGTTATTTTGAGCTTTGGCTGAGCAACTATCTTGAAAAAACATATGAAAAAGCTTTAAGTCTGACTATGGTGTATTCTTTGTCCTTTTAAGTTCTTTTCAGGTCTGCCTGAGTCAAAAGCTCTTGAAAGTCTCTCTTCTGCCAGTGAGTTCTCAGCTGGGTTTTTACAGTGCCAAGACAATAACTAAATCTGAACCCTCAGATTTAAGATGAGGAGCCTAATTTGTTATTGCTATAACCCCAGCAGACAACGCTTCAGGGCAGGAGGTGGGGGGAGCTGGGAAGAAGTCTGGCCTGAGATCTCCTCCCCTAATAAATTCCTTATTTCAACTCCTGCATGCTTCCCAGTAGCTCCACAACCAGCCTCCTGCCTCCAGCCAGAATTGGTCTTGTTGTTCTAACTGTTGGAGATGGAGGCCCAGAATTTAAACTCTGCTTCCTAAAAAAAAACAAAAAAGGCAAAAAACAAAAGCCCTTATTACATAACACAGTTACAGAATTGCATTTAGAAACACCTTAAGCTAATGTGAAATAATATTATTTAGGTTGCAGTCAGCTACTTGGTAGAAATTAGATTGCCTGTGAATGCTGTGTCTGCATTCTTGTGCAGATATAATCAGAAGAGAAAGGCAATCTTGTTTTTAAGCCCCCCACTGATCCATGTTAATTCCTGATCCTACTATAAATTTTCCGTGTGACCTTGGGTGAGTCAGTTCTTCAAAATTTCCCATTTGTCTGGAATAATACTGAGGCATCCTTCAGAAGCTGCTAAGATGAGGCATTGTAAGATGAAGGATGGTTAAGGGCATAGGAATACATAGCTATGATTTCCTATGAAGCTTTTCTCAGTTAAACATTGTCATATATATCTTCACTCTAAGAAAACCACTGTGCAGAAACAAGCAATAAGATAGCCTAGCACAGTTATTACAGCAGTGGTAGCTGTATTTATGATTAGGATTTAAGCTAGTGTGTCCCCTTCAATGAAATTACTTACTGCAGTTTGGCCTTGGCATCTTCAAAATTTTCTGCTATGAAATAGACAGGCTGGAAGGCTTGATCCTGATAGGGGTGAACTGCAGTCACTTCTGGATCAAAGGACTTGTACTCTGGCTCATTTGATAAAGCATACTTATAACAGAAATAACAAAGGTTAGAATAGATGATTGTACACAGCAAGAATTACTGCCTACTGAGCTGTGAAATACTCATTGTGCAATAGTTAAAGGTAGTATCAATTCCTGTTCTTTCACCAAGAAATGAGAAAGCTGTTTCTCGTAAATAGCAGTTAGTAACAATAAAAAGTTCTGTTTTGTTCTGTTTGAACAGAATGAAAGAGAGAGATATTTCCTCTATTACAGCATTGTAATGATTTGGTACCATAGCCACATTCTCAAACAGGAAGGAGGAACTCTAAGCTATGCCCCAGATGCCCCAGAATATTAGTCTCTAACAAAAATAAAAATTGTCTCAGTATCATGTTTTAAACCAATATCACAGAAGAATCATGGTACTGCACAGCACTGTTTTGAGTTCCACAGACCATGTTACAAAGTCCACATTTCCTACTGCACTGAAGAATAAGTGGGATGCTCTTGGCATTTTCAGCACAGCTCCCATGCCAGTTAAGCACTCTTCAAGTTTTCCCAACACTCAAGACATAAATGTACACTGCACTCCATCTGTGTATTTGGAGCACAGAGTTTCTTCTAAAAGTTCTGCTCAGGTTCTTCTGAACCCAAGGCAAGCTTAAAACCAGCTCAGTTCCAGTGCCATTTGGACTACACCACAGATGTGTCTGAATCTGGATTGGCCTCCAGGGAGCAGGATAGTGAGTGCAGTGTCCACTTGAGTGAAATGTTCTTGATATTGCCAAAAAAAAGTCAACTCTGGTCAAAAGCAAGAACTTTCTTCACATCTTCAGCCTGAACAGAGGGCTCCCATCTGATTAGGGACAGTCTTTTTGTAGCAGTCCATTTTTGCTGGTTGCCTGCTTGTCTTCTTCTCTGCTTCTCCAGTCTTCAGAAGGCTCCTTTCACTATTTCATAATGCAAATGCCAGCTCCCATGGTACTTGTAAAGAGCTGGTAAGACTGGGTGACGCTTTTCAAGACTTTATTCAGACAGTCCCCTTAAGCACATTTTTGCATATTGCACTGAACTGAGTCTGAACTCTCCACCATTGGAGGCCTGCCTCAACCAGTAGGCCAATTTGCTGCAGAACTGGTGCAGAAATTCATATACACTTTAAAAAAAAAAAAAAAAGATTAAGAATATAAAACACTAAAAGATGGCACTTTTCCTGTTCTTCATTTGCAGCGTGTAATTGAAGAATAAACCTTGGAGAGCACTCATACAGTCTAAGATGGATGATATACACAAACATAAGGCTGTTCTTATAATCTTAGAAACCCAGGGGACTAATGGGAAAAGATTTTAGAAACTCAAAACCTCACAGGGGTCCCGCTATGCTGTTAGAATTGAAGCAGAGCTGAAATCCCATTGATTTTAGTGGATGTTCTGCTTGAAACCGGATGGCCTGAAAGGCCTCTACGAGTTAAGTACTTGTTGTGCTGCAAGAAAAGGATATGTAGCACTGAGTTCTGCCAGAAGTGTGGTATGAGCCATAAGATTTTACAGTATGTAGGACAGAGTCCAGCTGAGTGTTAACAGGAGAAGCATTTTGGATAATGCAGAACAGCTGACAGAGTATAGTGAAATAAACAGTGCAATACTGAGAGCTATTGGGGAGGAATTCTTACAGTTCAGAAGAGGCAAGTTTGGCCAGCAGTCAGACCCATTACAACTGTTCAGTTTAGACTTGGGTATGATTTTCCTGTCCTTTCTGATACCTAGCTGCTGTCATTAAATGATTTGTTAGATAACATGTATTCAAGAACAAGTACCAGGCAGGTGTCATTTCACCTCTACCTTTCATCACCTGCCTTTCTCCAAGTTATTGTTTGGGCAACATCAGCTCATACATAGAAAATGCTTGAAATAAACTTCCTACTGGTAAGAGTGGGTGTTACAGAGAAAAGGAAAACATTTTGAAGAATTCATAGTCAGGACACGATTCCTTGGGTCATACTCACACAGAGAGTCAATCCAGTCTGCAGTTCAGAGATGTTTGTAGACACCTTGCCGATGCTGAATTCTCACATAAAATTAGCTAGATGCAACAGTACTCGCCCTTTCCAGCTGGTTAGTTGTTAACTTCTTGCAGCCAACAATTTGGCCTTAATAACTCATGTCTTTATTGTGTCCTCAGAGACCAAACCACCCTGCTTTAAGTGGTCCAGGAGCCTTCACTGCTGAAAAAATCTCTTCTTCACCCAAATTAGAGCAGTATGCCTCCCTGGTCATACAAGTAGCAGAGAGTCTACCCGTTCCACTTATGCTGGCTTCAAGATGATACTGAGTCTGGGGATTCCAATGATAAGCCTGTGGCTTATCATTTACACTGAGAGTATCAGTGGGTGGTATTGAGAAGGATAGCAAATTACTATCAGGATGGACAACGGCTTTCTCCCAGGCAAGAGTGAAACTTATCTAGAGATTTTTCAAGAGCTATCCTAAAGCTGCAAAATGAGCTCTTTAAGAAACTGAATGCCACCGTGAGCTTCACTACTTTCTGGTCTGTGTGCAGGGAACATTTTTTACTTCATCTTTTCTAATAAAACTCAAAACAGTCTGGCCACCACTGTATTTCTTAAAAAAAAAAAAAAAAAAAAAAAAGGCATTTCTACTGAAATAGGCATTGCATTACACATATTTCTCCTGTTTAGGTGAAAAAGAATGTATTCGATATTGTTCCGAATAATAATCCATGAAATGAATCAGTTTGCCCTAAAAGGAAACTTCAGTGCTTAAGGCCATAGATATAATTAGTGTTCCAAAAGTTTCAGATGCTCAAGTGAAGCGCACAGAAACCACTAATCTTCTGTCCCAGAAAGTTACATAGAAACAAATCTCCTGAGCTCACATGGGGTCAGCATAGCATCGTTACTTATCAATTGCTTACCAATTTTCACACTGTTTTGGTTGTTATGTGAAAAGTAAGCAGGAAAGGGGTTCTGAGTGAATACTTCTTCATTACCTAATAAGCACAAATGCCATCACATCTATAGGTAATTTCAGAAGTAAGATGGATGAAGACCCAAATGAGCCCAATTATATCAAAAGCTTTTCCAATGACGTTACCATTCAAGTACTGATAATCAAAGTAATGACAACAAGCACCTATTAATCAAGGATGGTTACCACTTCTGTAGTTGGCCTTACAGTTAGGGAATCTGAGATGCTGTTATACTTTTGTGTTACATGGAGCAGTTTTGTGAACAAGTAGTGCTTGCTGACTACTTTAATACAAAACAGAACAGTTTGTTGGTTGGGGTCTAGTGAAGAGAAGGGTACTTTGGCTGGTATCCAGTGAGGAAGAAAAGTACAACTCTGGTACATGCAATTCCAGACACCAAAGACAGGTGTTTCTGGCATAACTTTTATGTTCAACTGTATCAAAAGAAAACAGAAAGGAAGGTAATATTGTGCATATAGGTTTTGTGGTGCATATTACCACAAAAGCTACGTAAGTACTGGAGGCATTTATCATCCTGTTTAACAATTGTATTTGATTTAATACTATAATTTATTTATCTATAGTCTGCTTTTATGTATCTCCCATGAAAACTTTCATTTCTAGTTTATAAAGAGTATTAAAAGAGTACTTTGTCCCCCTTCTTCCCTTTTAGTTCTGTTGCAAACCCTTCTTGTCCTCGCTAATGCCAAAAATCACCCACTATCTTCATAACTTGAGGCCCTGAGAACTACTTGAGAACTACTGACACCAGAATTTTTGCACTTAGAAACAGATCATCTGCTTCAGTGTACTGTGAAACTGAGGGGAAGAGAATATCTCCACTACCAACTGTTTGTCTAAAGGAGATGAAACCGATAAGCTTTCTGTATAGGTATACAGTCTCTCTTTCCTTGAAGAAGAGCTGTATCCAGCCTGCGTACACGAATTTTAGCCTGCGTAAAATTTAAGGTAGAAGTAGTTCTGAAATACTTTTATGAATGTAACACTTCTAAAGCACTTTCTATTTGCAGTTTTTTCTTATTTACAGTTTTTTTGTCACTTTGTTTGGTCACATCAGTCAATGCCTTTCAGATTTATACGTGCGTGAAGGTCAAGTGTGCAGCTGAGTTCATAATAGGCATAATATTGCCCTCTAGTGTATAGTCAAGAAAAGTACATGAGTTTTACGTTCAAATCAGTTGCATCACTACTGGACAGAAATAATAAGCAAATCTGACATTTTGTAGGTTGTATAGTTTCATCATATTTCATCTCTCAGGGTTGAAAACTTGTACAATCTGACAGTAGTTTGTCCTCTACTCCTCAGCTTCTTGTGAGGAAGAATGAATTTCTTCACAAAAGAAAAATCAGTATCTTAAAGAATATTGTCTTATGTGAGGAAATACCTTGCTTTTACCAGTGAGTTTAGAAAACTGTATTGTAGAAATCTTTTGATACCACATAGATGACACATACCATAAGTTCCCCATAAGATGAAAGCAGTCCTGCCCCGTAAGCTTTGGTGGATCCATTTTGCTTGCAGAGACCAAACTCCACAGTAAACCAATAAAGCTGATAATGAGAACAATTTCTGAAAATCGTAGTCTCAGCAGGCATTTCATTTTTAAGCTTTTCCTTTTTCCTTCCTTCTAACTTCCTTTATTCTTAATCGTTCATGTTTTTGGTTCTTCAAATTTTACAACTATATGTTTTAAGAAAAATTTTTTTTCACTCCAATGTATAAAATGCAGAAATAAGAATGTGTATTTTTCAAAACCTGACATCCTTCCTATTCTCACTCCTTAAAAAGGACAAAACCTGATAAAATTGTAGCTATTCTTAAATAGATTTTAATAAATAAAATTGAGTTGGATTATAGTCAGTGAAAACTAACAAACTGTGATAGTACCCAGAAGGGTGGCTAAACACCCACAGAGAGTTCAAGACAATCAGAAAAGTCCTTGACAGGGCAGTTTCCCTTCTCTTAGATCTATATGATATCATTAAAAAGAACTGAAGAATGACTTATTCTTTAGCAGCAATGTACCCATTAAGATAATACCAATTTTAAACTTATCTCTCTGCAATAGAAAATAAAGGTACATCTCTGGGATTTTCTTACAATAAAGTATGATTAGGATCATACTTCTTTTACATGCTGGACAGTGGTGTGATAAAAACTACTTGTGGTTCTGCCAACCTGTCATCCCTTCCCTTATTTTGCTGTATGAGGAAATGGATGTTGAAGGAACAATTCTGGACACAGTGACCCCTGAGATACTAGGTAGATGTTGTGCGAAACATGGAAAATATAAGACATTTAAAAAATAGAGCTTTGTGGCTTCTAATAAACTTTTAGAAAGCTGAGATATTGTTTTAACACCTAGGCTATTTGCATTACTATAATCAATGGAGTGTGATGGGGACTTACAGAGAGAAACAAGAATTTATGGTAGACATCTCTGTCAGGATAGGAAATACATTAAACATTCTTCTCTTTCTGGTTTCTCTTTCAGATTCATTTTCTGGTGAAGAAACTTAAAAAATAAGTCTAGGCTAGATGTCTAACTTTTAAAAAAATTGAAGTTTGAGAGACTAATCCAGAGTATGTTTACTATTCAGGATATCTGAATGGCACTTAATAAGTAGTATTCTCACAAATCCTTAACAGGAGGAAGCTCTTTCAAAAAAGTCCTATCATTCTATCTCCCAAAACCCCAAATGATATTGTAAAAATTTTAGATCTACGACATATCTGCTAACATTACCATATCCTTTCCAGAGCCAGAGAGGGACACTTGCAGAGGAATGCTGTGTAAGATGCTGGCCTTCACCCAATCTCACCAAGACCTGAGAAATGCCACAAAATATCTTCCTGGCACACATCATTCTTAGGTCTAATCAAAAGATGAATCTTAATCTTATTACATCCTCTCCAGTCTAAGAAAGGAGTAACATACATCTGCCTACAAATAGATTTTAGGTGAGTCATAATCTCATTCAAACCGTGCCTCATTCCACTTCGGCAGGAGTGGACCTGTGCACTGGTTGAGGAATTTCAGGTGTGGCCATCTCCTCTCGTCTACCCCATTTCCTGCAGATTCTCATCCTGGTGGGTGAGGATAAAACTGATAATATAATCAAGAATGGGAAATAACTGCCATATCAGAAAAAAATCATCTGTCCTCCAGCCCACTTTCGGACCAAGTTAAGATGGCAGCTAGGTGTTGCATAAGTTGTTTTCACAGATGTTTAAAGACTAGTGATTCAGGACCAATCACTTTCAGATTGCTCACAAATTTTGTGAGAGTAATGAATATCGGGTGCCCTGAATTCTGATGGTGCCCTGAGCCTCTATGTGTAGGAGAAATTGCAGGAATCATATTGAGTATCCAATCTACAAGGTGAATCTGTAAAATGAATTGGGACCCTCCTATGACTGGAACTGTAGAGACTGAGATTCAGGAGTACATTCTTACAGCAGCAAGAAGCGTAAGCATTTCCTCAAAGTGGAATCACATGCTTCTGGGCTCCTCCAGAGGAGCTCCAGCTTCTGTTCCAGCACCTCCCTAACCTGTTGGTGTGGAGAAAAGACAGTTCTGCTGATGCTCTCATTTTTGCATGCTTAAACTGTGACATTAGAGAAGAGTCTTCCCTGAATAGTGAGGGATATGCAGCAAGCCTTTTGGTTTCGCCTGTGATATTAAACTGCTGCCTGTACTTACTGTGGACAGTTTCTCAATCTCTGCTTCAGATGATCCAAGAGAAGCCAGTCCAATATCCTAAAGCAAGTAGGCAAGCAGGCAGTGTTACACTAGCGTGATTATTCAGCCCAAGGGAGAGAAAGAGGGGAAGGGGGAGGACCACATCATTTCTAGCATGAATAGAGTGAACTATCCATTGTTTTTGTCACCCAAAATGACCTTCCATGGCTTCCAGGATGCCTACCTCTCCCTGGCCCCCAGCTACATACCACTGGGAGCCACATTAGATGAGTGTTTAATCCTCAGAGTTCACTGTGTAAAGTTAACTGTCTTTCAGCTTAATGCTGTATCCCAAGGCACAGATTTATAGGAAGGCATGATATGTGAGGACTGCAAGGTGAGTTTTATCTCTGCCATTACCTTTCTGTCTCTCATTCTCTTTTTGAAAGCCCTTACGAATGTGTCAGATCCATGCAGGTGCAATGCTGTTTAGTCACAACTATGCTGCCTTTTAATTACTATTTCCATGATAAAAATCTGTAGGTGTCTCCTTTTGTCTCTCTTGGGAAATGTATAACACATCAAATAAACCAAACTGTTTATTATCCTTCATTCATCTTTTTATATTGAATGTAATAAAAATAAATAAATAGATTCATGGGGTGAACGCCATCTGTGAAGATGCTTTGTGAAAATATGAAATGAAAAATGTGAAAATTTGTTTAATGTTATCCCATGTTGCATAATCAATATTATAGGCGGGGAAAGGGTAAAGCTGAAAGTTTTGTAAGTGCGGTCTTATTTTTATGGTGTCTTCAGTTCTAGCATTGAACTGAATTGAAGAGCTCTTCCTGAAAGAACTACAGACCTTAGGATATTTTAAGAACCATTACACTGAATCTGGTAATAAACAATACTTAGACCAAAATGGAAATTGGCATGTATCCACACTGATACAATTGAAGACCATGATCTGTAAGGTGAACTGGCCTTCTTTTTCAGATATTCATACAGGGACATGCATAATTTAACCTTCTGCACTTATTGCCAGTTTTCACAGTGGCCGCTAACAGATAAGCCTAGAATATGAATTATCTTCTTCCCCCTGCTACGGTTCTGAGGCCTTTAATTATACTAGGTCATTGAGTTCACTTGAGTCTGACATTGACTGCTCTTTCTAAATAGATTCTTATTGTACAAAGAAGCTCTGTTTGCTTTTTGGAGCCTCTTCACCAGCATGAGCAATGCTGTGAGAATCTACTGAGTTGTAAAAAGAAAAACATCTCAAATGAATGACATGGTGATGGAAAAAATTAAAGTATCATGTGAGATAAAAATGTACATTTGGAGACAGAGTCAGCCTAGGGGCTCAATGGCTTTGGTGGCTGGGTTTATTTGGCGTGAGACAGGAAGCCAGAGGAATAGTGTAGCCCACACAGCTCAAACAAGCAGCACCACAAGGGCTCAACTAGCATCCTGCTGTAGGCTGACACAGCCCTCCCACAGAGAAATCCCACAACATTGCTTGCCCTTCCTTTTACAAGTGGTGCTACCACTCCCTTGGAGTATGTATTTCCTACAGCACTGCTAGCCCACTACTGCTGGAGGTTGAGTCAGACACAACCAAATTTTTAAATAGCATTTCAAGCAGGGTAAGCTGCATGCCTTAAAGGCATGTCTGGCCTGCCTTGCAGAGCAGTTGGTTAAACAGCCAGCAGAACAAGCTTCTTACCTGGGAGAACTGGGCAAACTCCTTGTTGGCTAGCATGGGAACATGACCCAGCAGTTCATGGCAGCAATCTCTGGAAAACAAGTGACCTTCACATTTAATAAAGGGAAGATTGGTTGTTGTTGTTGTTATTGTTGTTGTTTTCCTGCTCTGTGTGAAGACTGAATCTTGTGAAGACTTTACTGCAGGAGAGGCTTACACAGCAACCAAGCCTCCAAGTAGAGCAAGGTACTCTTAGGCAAGTGCAAGGTTGGGAGTTGGAGTTGGACGAGAGACTGAATATGAGCCAGCAGTGCGCTCTGGCAGCTCGAAAGGCAAATGGGATCCTGGGCTCCATCAGGAGAGGGGTGGCCAGCAGGGACAGGGAGGTGATTGTCCCTCTCTACTCGGCTCTTGTGAGGCCCCATCTGGAGTACTGTGTCCAGGTGTGGAGCCCTCAGTACAAGAAAGACATTGAGATTTTGGAAAGGGTCCAGAGGAGGGCGACTAAGATGATCAGGGGGCTGGAGCACCTCCCCTATGAGGACAGGCTGAGGGAGTTGGGCTTGTTCAGCCTGGAGAAGAGAAGGCTGCAGGGTGACCTCATTGCAGCCTATCAATACCTGAAGGGAACCTACACCCAGGAGGGGAGTAAACTCTTCAAAAGGGCTGATAACAGCAGGACTAGGGGAAATGGTTTTAAGTTGAAGGAGGGAAGATTTAGGTTGGATGTTAGGGGGAAGTTCTTTACTAGGAGAGTGGTTAGGCCCTGGAACGGGCTGCCCAGGGAGGTTGTGGATGCCCCGTCCTTGGACGTGTTTAAGGCCAGGTTGGACGGGGTCCTGGGCAACCTGATCTGAATGTGTATGTTTGGTGGCCCTGCTAGGCAGGGGGGTTGGAACTACATGATCCTTGGGGTCCCTTCCAACCCGGGTGATTCTGTGTGATTCTGTGTGATTCTGTGTGAGTTGTCCCTTAACAAATTCCTGTTTATCATCTTTTGCACACATGTGTGTAAAAGATTTGTTAAGGGACATTTGTTAAGGGACAACCCATGCTGTACAGCAAATGAGAGAGAATCCAAGGATGAGGAAACTAGCTAGGGATTGAAAATGCAGGCTCTATTCCCTGCTTGATCATTGGGACCATGTGTGATCTAAGACTGCCATAGGGAGCTAGTGTAAGAATTTTAACTGTTTTAATTAATCCGCAGTAGGCGCTTCCATACCTGGTCTGGCTTTACAGAGAATATGGCAAAGCACTGCCTTCTGCTCCGGGGTGCCAGCTGCCTCCCGCTACACTGGCTATTGTCTCACTTGAGATGGCATGGGCAATAGTGCCCTATGTCACAACATCTTTGAAAAGACCCTGTTTTGTCCCAGCATACAACAAAAACGTCTGTGAACTTGTAATTTCTCATGAAATGTAATTGCTGTTGTCTGGCCAGCAGTTACTGGGAGAATTTCACAGCAGGGAATCAAACCTCAGCAGATGGCAAAAGAAGGCAGGATGAAAAGATTAAACCAGATATTCTCCGGTCTTTTCCTTTTTCAGACAACTCTGCAAAAGAGAAAGAGACCCACACCCTTGCATGCTTGACTTCCCCTTCTAAATCTTCAGCTACCACTTTCTCAAACTATTTAATTCTGTGGACTACTGGATAGAGCTCCAGAATTATTCCCAAGGCAATCATTTCCATTCAGATGGATGGGATTGTGCCAGGTTATCATACTTACGGTTCTGGTGAATGTGTAGGTGAAGAGAAATGCCTTATATACTGTGTGCACTGAAAGACACGAAATGCGAGGCTGGCAAGGAAGTCACGAGCAGACAACAGTCCTGCTGCTGGTATCAGCTGGAAACCTGTTGTTTCTGCAAAGGAAAGTGAGACAGAATTCCACAGTTAATTGCATGACACACTCACTTCGGGTAAGAAGTTTCAGCAGGCCTTAATACTCTGCAGCACTATCTTCCTCCACCTAAGGGTTGTAGGAACATACTGACTTTTCAATATCTAAATGTTCCAATGCTTTTATGGGTCCAACTACTGTAACATAAAACTACCAGACTGCTCATCCTACATTTAGTCACACAATAATGATATGAGGCACAGAAATCCTGCTCACTCCAGCTTAAATTTCTAACACATTTGCACGCATTTATCTTCTATGTCCCATATGTCTGTGATGTGTCTTAGATCACACATGGTCCCTATGATCAAGCAGGAGATAGAGCCTGCATTTTCAATCCCTAGCTAATTTCCTCATCCTTGGATTCTCTCTCATTTGCATGTGTAAAAGATGATAAACAGGAATTTGTTAAGGGACAACTCCCAGCCGTGCACTTGCCTAAGAGCACTTTGCTCTACTTGGAGGCTTGGTTGCTGTGTAAGCCTCTCTTTCCTGCAGAATTTCTTATTCCCCACTCTAAAATCTCTGGTACTTCATGCTGTTGAAGACTGAAGTACGTGAACTGTGAACATGACCCACTCTCGGCAATTCTTCTGTTTGTCAGTGCATCTAGTTCAGAACGCCCCACATGCTACCCAACTTCATTTCAGTTTGTCAGAGTTTCAAATGTATTATTTAGATCAGCACTGGAAAGCCTCACTGTCAGTTTTAGCTTTCAGTCTGAACTTCACTGGAATGTGAACACTCGGTCCTTGCTAGAGATGAGGGTGTTGAAATTTGGCCCTTAGCCATTTAATGTCAGAGTTTTCATTAGCTATTCTCAGCTATTTTTCCTTCTGATTTTTTCACCATCATGGTTGCCTAGAACTAGCTAAATACCTTCCTAGTGATGTGACCATATACATTTTGTTTTGCATGTATCTGCAGGAAAGGTTAGAAGAATGTAACACTTGCACTTGGTTTTTACCTTGTGCTAATCAGTGTTATCTCTGGGCACTCTGTATTACTATGGAAGGTCCGTGAGAACAGCTAGCAAAACAATCAGTTCTATGGTTAACAGAACACATAATCTTCATTTCCATGGGAAACATGGTTGGTGGTCTACAAAGCTAAGAAAACTGAAAAACACTGCTTTTAAAAAGAGCCAATGGCAATCTTTTTGAAGTTCTATATTCAAAATCTGTGTTGCATTCTCAGCTTCCATAAATGACATTTCATTTGCTTTAAAGCATATAACTATATTAAAAAATCAGAAATTGCTTTTTCTCCCTTTCCTATCCATATCCTATTGTGTCATGAAGCCCATAACATAATTTTTTAATGTAAATGAACAAACAAAAAAATCCCACCCAGAAACTAAACTGTTTACAAGATTTGTTTTGTTTTTTAATCTTTCTTCCAGCATTTCTTGTCTGGCTCTTTCTGCCTGTTAGTGTTTTTCTCATTTAAAAAAAAAAAAAAAAAAAAAAAAAAAAAAAAAAAAGAAAAGAAGAAAGAGAGAAAGAGAAAAAAAGAGAGACAAAGAGAAACAGAGAAAAAGAGAGAAAAAGAGAAAGAGCACAAAGAGAAAGAGAAAGAGAAAGAGAAAGAGAAAAAGAAAGACAAAGACAAAGACAAAGACAAAGACAAAGACAAAGACAAAGAGAGAAAACAAGCCTTACTGAAAGAAATAGAAGTGGCAAAGGATGTGAAACTATTCAAGACAAAAAAGCACGAACAGAAAGAATGCTTCTACCTGACAGTATGAGAGATAGAGTTTACCATGCTCATCTTCTATTGCTTGCCAAAATTCAAAGTATTGAGTACAAAAAGGCAAAAAAGCTGAACAGAAAAAAAATCTATGGAGATTATGTCTATCTATAAGCTGACCAAAGGTATCAGAATTAACCAGGGAACTGAAAGTAGTTGCAAAAATCTTCCTGTTCTCTTCTCTTCTCCATTAGGAAAGCAGGGTGTTATGGGAAATAGAGTATCAGCTGTGTCACCATATGGACTGACCAGGAGCTGAAACAACAAGGGGACTCCCTTATTGCAGATGCCATACTGGGCTAATCAGGAAGAACATGAAAAGCTGAGATCTGGTAATTTTGGGGCTAAATTCTGAGTCTGAACCATCTGAAAAATATATCAGACCAGTACTAAGCTTTGAAGTAAATCAATTTTGGAAGACTATGAGAAGGTCTAGGGAAAATCATATTGTTTTAGAATCCATGTTGGAGGAGCTGAAAGGAAATGAAAATTAAAGCTTGTGTTCCCTGGGATTCTTTTTTAAAAATAGGCCAGTGAATCATACAGTCTGTTGATGGAACAAGCTTGGCAAGTTGCCTACCAAAGCCATAGGAAAAAGTTATCTGCTGAAGGTATTATCTGCAAAATCTGAACTTTCATTTCATCAATGCACAATGAAACCAGCAATCAGTAGAGAACTGGAGGCTTGACTGATTGGACTTGCTGCCCAAAAGTCTCTGAAGTCAAAAACCGATGAAGAGAAGATCTTGAGCAGTTGACCTAAAGTGATCCGTAAGACTTAAATCTTGGCCTAGAAAAATTTGTGCATACAGTACTGCACACTGTAGTGTGAGCTTGCCTGAGCCAGTTCACTGGCTATAATTTCTTCCAGCTGCAGATGACAATGAATGTCTAAATCCAAACATCTTTCCTAGAAAGAAAGAAGTATCTAGGTTTGTCTAATTAATCTGTTAGAAAAAAAAACATTGTGTTAATCTGTCACCTGGTTAATCCTTTAAATTCACTTTAAGTAATCTTGAAATACTTATGATGTAGGGTCCATCTGTGTATAAACCAACCTCATTACCAGAGTAGGTAACACTAGGCAGATCTTGTAGTTCTACAATTAAATTGAAAAGGAATTGCTTGGCAGTGTTCACAGACACTGCTGTGTAAAAGACAAGATGGAATTTCATCTGGTTTTCTAGGCTGGCTATAACATGATAATTTTCTATCCAGGATATTCCTCCCTCTCTCTGCATCTCCACAGTTTATTAGACAAAGGCTTATTTATCATCACATATTCTAAAGAATGGTCCAGTCATTACAGGCACTGTTCAGTAAAGATATGTGCTGGGATTTGTGTCCAAACTGGAAGAGTTCAGAGCTCAACCAGAGCTAACCAGTGACAGGATGAACAGCACGATGCATCTTTATACAGGGTGTAGTGAGTGAAATTCCTCCATAGTATGCCAAGGAACTTTGGGAGACCTAATGTCCTGGGGATTAGCTGAGGTTTGTTTGCTGGAACACTGCACATCCATAGCACAGGAAAGAGCCTAAGCTGTTGATTCATGAGTTGCAGGAACAAAAATTCTGGCATTGCCAAAAAATGTTGGTAAAAGCCAACCAAATTAATAATAAATAAGAATAACTCCTTATAAATCATATCCTTCACCCAGTGGATGACTGGTACAAGGTTGTCTTTAACATAGCTTTTGAAAGCATTACAGATGCTTCTGACTCAGACAGAATTTTTTGCAAAGAAATCTTGCAGTAATGTCAATTTTAATGCAATCCTAAAAATTTTCTGCATAGTGAAACAATCATACTAGTCATTAAAAATAAAGAGAATATCAATTCAAAGTCTCCAAGCATCCAAAATATTTTACTGACTCTTAAGTGTCTATCAGTAAACATAATACATTCTACCAATTCTGTTCTGTCTCTGCTTAATATTTCATAACGTCTTAAGGCTGAACAGCAGATTTTATCTACATTTTAAGGAAAGTAGGACCAGCACTCCAGAGAGCCATTCTTTCCATTTTCCTTCAACACCCATGCCAGGATGGAATAAAATGATTCTGACATTCTGATTCTCATTCTCAGTCAGTTAAATAATTTGGACAGTTATCTTACACTAGCCATGCTCTTTTTGAAGTAGTTAAGCTTATACTCCCTTTGAATATTATCTCAAATTTTACTAGAAGAATTTTTAGATTGACCATTTTTACTGTTTGTTGTTGTTGTTGTTGTTGTTGTTTTGTTGTTGTTGTTTTGCAAAGCATGGAGAAATTTTAGAATGAGAGCCTACAAAATAACTGAACAGGTCCAGACTCCATGCAATCAAATCCTGTCAATAACATGAGCAAGAGAAATAGTGCATGACAGGATATTATGTTGTCCTAAACTCTCTCACTTTGTAGTCAGCTGATTCAGTTACAGAGTATTGAATATCCGTGATTTCTGTAGCTCTCTGCTGTCAACTACTGTGCAAATCAAACAAGATGAGATAAACTACTTCATGAGAAAAATATCTGTAAGCCTAGGGAAGAAACAGATAGCTGAATAGAGAAAAAATAAGTGAGAAAATACAGAAGAGAATACATAATACACATGAAAATTCCTACGGCTGGTTGTGATGGTGCCGGCATGTTCATGAGAGATGCAATTCATATATATAAGCCAGTCCTCCACTCTCTTACACTAAAAGTGCAATAACGTATTTATCATCAAGTAATTTAACTTTACTAAAATTGGCAGTGTCTTGGAAACATATTCAGGCACAGAAAGCTTAACTAAGTTTACTATCTTCATCTACTGATGCATGCAACAGGTTGCTTTATTCCTTGAATACTAGATTAAATGGAATTTATGTAAAGTTAAGGCAGTGTTTTTATTTATCTGTTTTGACATAGTGAGCAGCTGTCCTACACTCTCTGGCACATCTGCTTGTCACTCAGGATGAACAAGGAGGTTTCAAAGACAACCTTTCTTTAGTTAATTTTTGATAGCAATGGTAAATCAGCTGACTGACACATCTCATTGGACAAGAGAATGTATTCATCCTGTGGCTTAATAATAGTACTGCAGGCTCTCTTTCTTCTAAGATCATCAAGTCCAACCATCAACCCATCAGCAACATGCCTGCTAACTGTGTCCCTAATATGCCACATTCACACTTTTCTTGGAAACCTCCAGATTCAGTGACTCCACCACCTCCCTGGGCAGCCTGTGCCAGTGCAGCACCACACTTTATGAGAAGAAACTGTTCCTGATATCCAACTGGAACCTCCTCTGATGCAACTTAAGGCTATTCCCTCTTGTTCCATTGTTGTTACCTGGAAGAAGAGGCTGATTCCCACCTCGCCACAAGCTCCTTTCAAGTCTTTGTAGAGAGTAATAAGGTCTCCCCTGAGCCTCCTCTTCTCTAGACTGAACAACCTCAGCTGCTCCTCATATCCTTGTGCTCCAGATTCTATACAGTTCCTTTTCCTCTTTTCCTTTCTCTGGACATAGTTCAGGGCCTCAATGTTTTTCTTGCCACGAGGGACCCAAAACTGAACATAGTACTCAAGGTGTGTCCTCACCAGTGCTGAGTATGGAGGGATGATCATCTCCCTCACCCTGTTGACTACACTATTTCTGACACGAGCCAGAATGCCATTGGCTTTTCTGGCCCCCTGCGTACACTGCTGGCTCATGTTCAGCTGGCAGTTAGCTTACACCCTAGATCCTTCTCCTCCATGCAGCTTTCCAGCTACCACCAAATATCCAGGAAACCATAGAACAAGTCGTGGTTCAAAATGACTGGCCTTTTAAAAATCTGGACACATCCTGAAGTTGAGGTATGTTGTCTTCTTGGTAGCCACAGTGTTTCTCCAGCTGTTGGAAAGCATCCAGGTATTGTGTGCAGGCATGAGTAGGGTAGAGGCTTCTCAGCTTCCTGTAGACTTCTCTCCTGGAAAGCAAGAGCTGTGTAGAGTGTCCCACCTCACTGATTAAATACCTAAAGCATAACCCTCAAGCATAGGTGGCAGTCTAAAAAGTAGTACAAAACTATCAAGTAGTAAAAAAACAGTAAAAAAAAAAAAAAACCAACCAGGAGTAATAAAAACAGTAGTGGCAAAAACAAACAAACAAACAAACAAACAAAAACTTATAGAAATGATTATTTTTGCTCAGACATAGCCCTAGGGTGTTAACAATTTTTATAAATCTTGTTTTATGAAAATTGACATCATTCTTGGAAATACTGGCTATGGAAAATGTTCTTTTGTTGTTTTTGTATTGCTGTTTTTGTGTGTGTGTGATGCTATTGTTGCTATGGAGGCAATAGCCAGTCTCTGTAATGTCTCTGTCCATTTATATGAATATCTTACACAGTATGAGAGTAATGAATCAGAATGAAGGGGGAAGGAGAAAATGAAACAAAACAAAACAAACAACAAAAAAAAAATACAACACAAATCTCAAAACTTAGGAGGAATAAAAATAAAAGAACAGAGGGAAACAGTGGCTGCTATCACTACTGCAAAAGCTGCAGGAGACTGGGCCATTTCCGTGGAAGAATGAAGAAAAAATGAGAATAACTAGAGTTCAAAAGTTGCCTTAGCTTATTCCCCCCAGACAACTTCTGACTTCACTGGGATTGCACAGGATCTGAACTAGCACACAGTTCCATGCTGGACTGGAGTTTAGAGAGAGCAGAACTGTTTACACTGCTGCACATATGGTCCCTTTTATCAAAGTATCACTCTACTGTTTGTCCAAACATTGACTACCACAGAAACACAGAGAGACTCAGAAAGCAGTGATGAATTGTCCTGAGTCAAGCATCCATTCCCTCTAAGTCCACGGAGGAAATCATCTAAGTTCCCTCAAAAGTCAAAAGAGAGTAGCAGACATCTCCAGAGGGCAGTTTAGCTTACCCTAGAATAGCATCTCAAATAAATGTGATGCCTCATCACATGGAGGTGCTAGTTTGATTGTAAAGGACCCTCAATCATGGATCATCTTTCAGAAAACTGACGTAGAATTAAAAAATTATGGTACTCCATCCTTTTTATTTCTAAAATAATCACATTGTTTTCTGCATCACTTGTCTCCACAAAGGGCCATTATGCTGATACCTGAAGGTCTGGTACAGAGATGGGAAGAGAAAGACATTTTACATATATTTCCTTATTGATTTGGATAAAAAGTGGTACTATTCAGTTTTTTTTATGAAGATGTCACAGGTATACCCCCGTAATTTTGTCCTAGATTTTCCCTTTTTCTTGTCATACCTTCATATCTTTTGCCCACAAGAAGCTTTATGTGATTACTCAGTTTCAGGGCCTTTCACAGCGTGCCGCTTAAAAACAGAAACTCAGCTCATCTTCACCTTTTTTTTTTTTTTTTCTGAAAGTCATATTTCTGCACTTGATTAGTTTTCATTTTTATAACCATGTTGCTACAAACTGAAGGCATCCAGCAACTCTTCAGAGAAAATTCTCTTCAGAAGAATTCAGTCTGTGCTACAAATTTCCCACTTGATTGCACTGTTCTCAATTACATTTTGTTGTTCCATTGTTACCTGATGTCAGGTCACAGCTCTGGGGAGCTGTGATAACCATTGGGAGGTCTAATTTTGGAAACAGTTTCACAAGACAAGACAACCTAGATTGCTGGGGCTTGCTTTTTGAGGAAATAGGCAGATACTGCTGTACAGGTCTATTCTGTTAAGATACTGGGACTAATTCCAAGTGGAGAACTGAAATGGCAGAGTTTGGGGAAAAAAAAAAAAAAAAAGAAAAAAAAAAAAAAGGAAAGAATACAAAATTAAATTTTCTTAAATATGAGTTTCACACACAACATACCATGCCAAGATTGCTGGCTAGTGGTAGCAGTTATGAACATGACACTGGCCAACATGACAATTGAAAGATTTTATGAAAACCTATTAGAGCTTAATAATATGACTGCCTGGCTGAGTTGGATTCAAGTTCTCTATTCTATGTGATTCTAGCTTTCTGTGGCATGGTAAATCTTATTTAAAATAAAATAATTACTGAAAAAAGATGGAAAGGCCCTTTGGTTGAGGTCCTGGAATGAGACATCTAATATATGTATTTAATACCTGACATGGATATAAAATTCCTATATAATTTGAGCAAATGACTTAAACTTCCACTTTTTCAGTTCCCCAGCATTCTTCTTTTTCCCCACCTTTGGGCTATCTTTCCATTTAAACAGCAAATTGAACAAAGATTATTACGTGCATGTGGCACCTTTCCCAAGTTTAAGATATTCTACTCTAGGCTCCAGGTGTTTTGAGGCTTCTGATATCTTGATGTAATGGTCTAGCAGGGAAATGATCAGGAAAATGCATTTTGCTCTAGAAAGTGAATAGTCAGTTTTAGCTCTGAGAATGGCTTTCTGTAAAACAAATGGCCAAAAGAAAATACTTCACTATAGAGTAAAATCTGAAGTGGCTAAAGATGGTTTCAAATTACTGTCTCACACTGCCAGTCCTTCCTAGTACTGTAGTGAAATAGTGCAGGAGTCAGAGTATATGTGACAAACTCACCAAGTTGCAGTCTCCTGCTCTGTGTATTCGATGTAAGGCAAAGGGTCCCCACTGTAAAGAAGAGAGGAAGTAATGCATGCTTCTAAAGCAAGATTCAAATTCAACTTCAAGAATTTATTTCTTTGCCTGCACAATGAACGTTTGCTGTAATTAATATAGAAATAGCAAATAGTATATAATTAATCACTTATTTGTCTAGGTAGATTCTTATGTGTATTTTCTCCTCTGTTAAATCTGGGGAGAAAACAGAGGGATGTGTTAAGAAAGAGAGTCGTGTTCTGCTTGACAGAAGAAAAAAGAGGCATTCCAACTTAACTTTTCCTCTGCTGATTGCAATCTAGCAACCATCATACATGGTGTGTCTGCATGATCCGTCTCTGGAGGACACAATATCATCACCAAACTCATCAGCACAGAGATGCCCAGGCACACAATGATTTCTCATATAGACAGTCTTGTCTTCCACACTACAATAGCTCTGGGTCATTTTATTATATGCTTTTGTGATGTTTTATGATGGACTATCTATAGCATGTAGTGGCACTGAGAAAACTATTGTCAGATAGAATTCTAACTTGGGAAGCTTGACCATTTCTTGGACTTCCACAACCTGTTCTAACCACATAGTTATCTCCCCCAGACAGCAGTGTGATTCTAATGAAGTTTTATGCAGAAAGACAATAACACTTTCATTCATACACATGAGACACAAGAGTTTTTTAGGCTTTTCTGTCTTCCTATTAGAAAAGACTGTAGTCTTGATAGCGTTGTTCCAATTAGGAAAAATTTAGTTGGGAATTTTAATCTGCGTGGGCATAGACTTTTGACAAATAAATAATAAAAATAGTAAATTTTCTTTTCTTTGTCAAAAATACATTATAAAATCTTGCCATGGAATTTCACAAACATTGTTCCTCATAGTTTCTTGAAAAAGATAGAAAGACCCATATGGAGGAATTACCTCTGATAAGACACTCAGTGAGATGTAAATTCAACCTCATGACTTTATCTTAGTATGTATTTGCTGTGTTGTGAGAAAAGTTTATTTTGTATGAAGGTAAACGTTCTGTTTCTAGATTCTATTTTCTATTAAATAGCCTCATAGATACATCGACAAAATATTTAGTCTCTGGTATTTCCTCCACATGACGATGTCTGAAAGTACACAGTGAAAGAGAAGTGTCTTTTCAGCAGCCTTATACTTACACTCTGTAATTGTAGGCAAGGTCAGCAAAGTATGCCCTCCTCTTCCTGTACTCCAGGTCAGTGTATCCCTGAGTTAGAACATAATTAAAAAAAAAAAAAAAAAAAAAAAAACAAAACAAAACACTTTACATGAAGAGATGTTTCAGAGCATGAATAAATTCTCTGGCAGAAGCATTCAAAACAACTAGGTTTCTTTTAAGTTGTTGTCTCTAAGGCAATGAATCATGATCCTTTTGAACAAGGCAAGCCAAAATCTGCTCTTAGTTACATCCATGACATTCTGCTCAAACCCTGGGCTTTGTGGCAGAGAAGAAAGTAACATGTCTTGGTGCAAATGTTTTGGAGTTGTTCGTAAATGCTACCTCACAGACCATTAAACTTACAGTCAAATTTAAATGAAAATCATGCTAAAATATAATTGAATTAGAGGTGGCCTATCTCTTCTGCTGGAAAGGAGCTGAATCTCTGAGTCATTGCACTTCTTTGCTAAGCACAAAAGCTGCTGCACTGGAGAGTGATGAACATAACAGTACCAAGTCTGACATCATCTTACCAGATAAAGCACAATACACCTGAACAGTGAGAAAAGAAGGAGTCTTCACTGTCTAGAAATCATTGGAACAACCACTTAATACATTAAAAAAAATGTGCATTCGGCTGAATCTCCTCATGCTCATTTATTGCCATGTTATAATGAAGACACGTTCAGAGGTGTTGTTTCAAAAGGGCAGTTTACATATTAAATATGGACATTTTCATTTTTTCCTCCTCAGTATTTACTAGAAGTCTAGCTTCAAGCAGAGTTTTCCAGCTCTTAATAAGAAAAAAAAACTTGTGGAATCAAGTTCCCTTGAATTTTACATCATCCATAAGAGGAATAATGTTTGAAATCTGGTGCAATGTTACTAATATAACTCATAAAGCAGTGTTGATCAGCATCACTGTACAAATATTTATTATTCTCAAATATTCAGAACTTTCTGGAACCATTTTGCCTTCTACAAGCCAATTTTCTCCCTTAGGTTTATTCACATAATTTTCAGTGTAGCAATAATAGCAGTAATACTACAGTTAATGAGTATTGTGTGCATAAATCTAAGGGAAGAACAGGATCCCAAAAGCCACCTTTGCTTATCAGTAGGTGTAATGTGCCCATGTAAAACACATCGTAAAGCCATTGGACCAGGCTCTTCTTGGTGTTAGGACCTTTCATCTTCGTCCCTGCAGCAGGGATCTCCCCAAGGAAGCACAACAGTTCCTAATCAGTGTACCTATTCGGTAGTAAATGTGTACACAAAATTTCTGAGCCAGCTGTATACATTATCATGTTTTTATACTTTCCACCAGCATGCCCACATTGAACCATGCTCAGCAGCATAGTAAAGAGAGGCCGATTTGTGCTCCTTCATGCAACAGAAAATGGTTTCCAGTGCTTGAGCTAACTTGCTTCAAGTTTAGGCATTTCTACATTGCACTGCATTCTGCAGCGTCAATTTATTTCCACTCAGTACTTCAGTAACTCTACACTGCTAATGCTTTCTTTCACTCTACTCAGTACTCACACCTTCTATTTAGCAAATTGAAGAGGAACTTAGTCTTATTCAAATAATTCCCAATATGTATTCATTAATCTCATGAGAAAAAACACCTCAGAGTCAACTCAGGAAAAACATAGGCAAATACTTGGAATGCTTCTATCAGAAAGATGCAAGGAAGAATGAAAGAGAGAGTCATAGAATATCCTGAGTTGGATGGAATGCACGTGGATCAACTTGAATCCAACTCCATGCTGATATCCTGGTTGAGGTTGATCTGAAGATCTCCTAGAGATTTTTAGTTTAATAAATCACTATCAAAAATAGAATATAGACCTGAATTATTGTTATATTTTTTTTCCACACAGAGATGTACAGTCAGGAAATGGCCCTTCAGATTCCCTTATTCATCTGTACAGAATTCATAGCTCACTTATTCATCTGTTCAGAATTCATATCTCACTATGCTGTATCTGGAAACCTTTTTTTTTTCCCCCAGTACTTTGTCTTAGAATTAGCATCAGTGGAGTAGGAGTCTGCATTGCATTTTTTCTCCTCCTAATCTATATTTTCTAGATATTAGAATCAAAGAGTCACAGAACATTCCAAGTTGGAAGGGACTTATAACGATCATCAAGTCCTACTCCTACATTTTCCTTTGTCCTTTTCAAAAGAGATGCTTAAATTGAAGTTTTGATAAGCTCCAGTTCCTGCTCATGTGGCAAAGTAAGCAGCAGGGAGGTGTCTGCAGAATTCCTTCTCCTATTTCTTTCATGAAAAATCATCATTGAATCTGCCTAGTTTTCAGTTATCCCACCTACCTGCTGAACAGGGCTACCAAGGGGCATGCTGAGAGCCTGAAACATTCCTCCACAGATTTTGGTATGGTGAGAAAGTCCCCAATAGAAAATGGAAATCACCATTGTAAAAAACACTTTGAAAGTTTTAAAACAGCAAGAAATCCTATAGAGTCCTTATCTTGTGAGAAGAAAAATAAACCACCACAAAACTAGGATTAAAAAAAAAAAAGCAAATTCTGGAATCTGCCTTCAGCCGTCACAGTTCCCACTCTCACCCCTCTAACCTCAAGCACTGAATCACGCAAAGCAGAGCCTGGCACCATGCAGATGTTACAGGTCTGAGTACATACACAAATCTGTTACGAGTAAAACCCTGTTTGTGGCACACTCATAATGAATACCTAATGCCTGAATCCAAAGGAAAGCCCATAACAATCATTGTAACAATATTTTGCAGACAGAAAATTATCAGTAAATACTGTCAAAACTCCGGCTCCAGAAACCTTGGGAAAAGATGAATGTGAATAAGAATTATAGTCTTTGAAACTCGCTTCCAATTTAAATTTTACCTGATTATTTCAGTTGAAATCACTAGATATTTTGAGATTCTTCAGTCACATTTAAACATTAGTTCCAGTATTATGTCCATGAATCTGTGCTTCCGTGTATCTGATTTATTTGTTGTCTAAACAGTGTATTCAAGTTCAGGCATCATACTTCTCTCTGTGGAATCTGACAATACGGTATTTCTTAGCAACTAGCTCTTTGCTGCTTCATTATTGTCCACTGTACATCTGCACTTGACTGAGATTTCTGGCATATACAAATTCAGAAATGCAGACATTAAGTGTTTGAAAAATAAAATCATGGGAAATACAAAATGTGGAAGACTGAGAAACTTGAAGTCTAGATGGACCAAATGGTAGAAAGCGGGTATACTTCAAAGAAAATAGGGGTAAAATAATAAAATAGAGATTTTTATTTTAATTAAACAATGAAATGAAAGCACAAGCTAAAGACTAAAATTGAAATGATGATAATCATGTTTACTTTGGTGAATCAAGGCCGATAAGCTTCTCTTGTTAATTTATTCATTCTGTAATCCCTAACTTCACTGAATATCAGCCTTTTTCTGGCTCTTCTTTGCTTTTTTTTCCAGAGTGTTCTCTTATTACTGAAATTCTCCCCAACAAACAAACAAACAAACAACAAACAAACAAACAAAAATATTCCCTATTGAACGTTCCCTTTTGGAAAACAAACTGTGACATCAAACTTACAGGGTGACCATGGTCAAAACTGGGTTCATATGTGGTGATCAGATGGTGACATTTGTCTAGATCTTGAATTTTTCTGGGGAACCAGGGCACTGTAGAGAAAGAAGTAAGAATTAAATTAAATAGGATCAAGTAACGTAAGAAAGACATAAAAAGCAGAAGTTATGTGGATGATTACAAATTTTCTTTTCATCATTGAATATATAAATATTCACAACTATGCATCACTGTACATCTGTAACTGAGTTTCAGTTTGCTGACCAAGCTGTAGGACTGGACGAAAAATGATCTGAAACTAACTTGTAAGGATAAACTACCAGTTTTAATTAGGAGAAATAATCTTTAAAGTCATAAATATTTCATCTTACATCAAATGGGATGTTCTTTTTGGAACAGTACAACAAATTTTGTTCTACATTTTGGATTTCAAAAATATTTTGATCTTGTCTAAACAGTATTCTTAAATTTTCATACTGTTAAAAGTGAGATCAGCAATTTAATTTCTCAAAACAAAACAGGCCAAGAATATTTCTTTTTTTTTTTTTCTTTCTATCTCTTTTTTTCTTTCTTTCTTTCTTTTTTCTTTTTTTTTTTTTTTTTCCCCGGGAAAATAAATAAAGCATTAGCTGAATTTCCAACAGTTTCCTTCCCTTGAAGTGAGGAACTTCTCAGGTGATTAAAAGAATATTTATACAGTACTAATTTTAATTTAAATCCCAGCATTTATAATTAACTAAGTTTAAAACCACAGAAGAAATACAAAGTTAATGTTGCTTTCTGAGATCAGACTGATGCTGAAGCCACGCTCTGTCACTGTAGCTGAGAAAAGGACCTTTAGGAGTCACCTGAATCTGATACTTGATAAGAGTAGATCAGGTATCTATGTACTGAATGACAAACCCAGCTTTAGCCCTATTAAATTACACCCAAGCACTGAAGTGTAAAGCTAGAAAAGCACATTAATTTAGGAAATTTCAGTTCTTTCATGCAATAATAGGCAATGCTGCAATAAGAAGGAAGAAATACAAGTCCGACAGATGTCTTACATCAACTGTTTTTTTTTTTTCTCAGTCTTTTAACAGACCATGCTAAGCACAGATCCTAGTTCCAGCAAATCTAAAATGAAGAATTTCTTCTGAGCACAAATCTCTCAGCTACCAAGGAAATCCTAAAGAGACACTCCTTCAGTTCCAAAGCCAACTTGGCTCTCCACTTGCCCTGATGACAGCAATATCCTTTTGATACCCCTGCAGTCCCTGAAGACAGCTTGGACTGTCTCTTATCACTAGCCTGAAGGTGAATTTCATGAAACACCCAAAGGTGTCCAAACAGAACTGGATTAGCTAAAAGGTCCCTGAGGATTGCTGCCTGGCGTTGGCAAGTATTGGAAGCCTGAAAGCAATTTCATATTCAGGGAACCATGAGTCAATCTATCTCTCTCATCTAGCAGGGGCATTTCTGACATTCCCAATTTCTAATAGTTTCCTGTACTCATTCATTTCCTATCTGCCTGTAAACAGAACAAAGAGCAGTTTATCGCTGACAGATACATTTTTCCATCTTGCTATGGTAATTCAACTGGCTGTTAGCAGAGTAGCCACTTGCAGCATTTTACAAGAAGCTCATCACCTGCTTCTACCAGTGAGACCACTACCTCAAGGTTTTCTGCTGATCCTCTCTTCCTCTTACACTCTGGAAGCTTTTTCCAGCAGGTAGCATTTAGCTCTTTTCAGTGGAAGAGCAATCTAACTCAAGAGAGTCCTACTGGAGCCAAATGGCAGCAGCCTTGGCACAATAAACAGACATCTACAGCTCATTTTTAGCAAAACCAACACCATACACTACAAGCAAAAGAAACATTCAGACTCTCTGCCACATTACTGCATTCCCAGCAAGTGTCTGCAGTCAGTTCTATTCCAAGCTCTCATTTCTCAGTCCACAGGTTTCCTGTCATTGAAGTGCTTCCAGTTTCTCCTGAGTTTCTTATTTTGCCACTCTTTCCTTCTCATTTCCCTCTTTTTGGAACACTATTCTCACCTCTGTTCCATTGTCAAATTTGGAATTTGACAATGCCAAAATGCCCTCCTTTTCACAACAGCCAGAATGATCCCAGGGAAATGAGTCACACATGTTTAAAAAAAAAAAGTGCATGCTCACCTGCTTTCCAGTCTAATGAAGTTATTATCATTGAGCTAAAGGTAATTAACAACCTCAGAAAAAGAACTGCCAACAAAAAAAACTACTCCAAATACAAATAAAACAGCATTAGCATATGCATATGGTTCTTACTTTTGTCTTCATTGCCCGTTTTCACATCCTCTGTTACTCTCTTTAAGGATGTGATAAGGTGACTAATATCAGCTCTGTGAACTTCACATTCAACAAAAATGTCAAGATGATCAGCAGAGTTCTTGAGCTTTTTGATTCTCCTGGTTTCAAAGTGATGGATCTCAGTTTCAAACATCTGCAAGAGCTAGATGTTAATATGATGAAGCTTTTCCAAAAATATGAAAAGCCAAGTCTAGAGACAGTTCTGCAATGTCTTTAAAAGGTGATGAAAAAAGATCTTAGCAAGAAGTACATGTTAAGCAATGAAGTCTACTAATGCCCAGCTTAGAAGGAAGATACAGGCAGAGCTAGAGTAAACACAGTAGAATTAGGTAGAAGGAGACAGAGATGAAAGATGAGATATTGTTGATTGCAGTATTTCATCTGTGCAGAAATAACAAATGAGTGTAACTCTCAAGAGCCAGCAGAATGGAAGCAGATCTATTGATGTGTAATTGCACCATAATCATTAAATAACTGCAAATAATTAGAAATAAGTAACAAATACAATGCTTTAATTTTGGGTTATTCATTTTCTCAGACAAGAGTGAGCACTTTGTAAGGATAGTTCATGCTCTTAGAATACATAATGCCTCTGTGATTTACAGCTCTTGTATTTTCTGTCTTCCCTGCCAAATATGAAAAAAAAAAAAAAAAAAAAAAAAAAAAAAAAAAAATCATTGGCTCCTAACATCCCTACATTTAAGTACTTCAAATGTTGCCCTGTTTTTCTGTCATAGTTGACCACCACAACTGATAGAAAGAAGAAACAGACCGGTATATGCTCTTGCATAGAATTGTGATTCTTCTAAATAACTATCTAGTTGCTTCTTCCATTCAGAAAATTTTCCTTCTTTACCTAGAGAAATCATTCATGCTCTCTGAGCATCTGTAGCACAACAGGAGCAAGAAGGAAGGAGTAAAGCAGGTGGAGAGCACAGGCAGGCAGAGAGAAAGGAAGGCGAGAGAAATGGAGATGCAGAATGGGAGAGGTGAAGGCAATAGGAACAGTAGAAGTGGGTCTGTGGAGGTAGGGAACAACAGGTGAAAAGTGCAGTCTGTACCTCAAAGACTCTAGCTGCCTTAGAGAGCTCAGTCTTCTTTACAGTGCAGAGGGTGAAGTTCAGTATGAGAGTGTCTCTGTCATCCGCCTTGCTGGAGTCAAGACTACCTCGCCTGTTTAGGGACTCTGCACTACACATCTTCTCCTCACCGGACTCTTGCGTTTGGCCTGAGGTCACTCAGAAAAAAAATCTTCATTGGGAGCCAAGGGAGTGGATTGCAGCTGTGAGATGTCCAATGGAAATTGGACTGAGGATGTGAGTGCTTCTCCCAAAGTAATGGCCAGGGATTCTGATGGAACTGGAGATACAGTGGGTCTGTGTGGATGGTGGGTTAGATATAGGGTCACTTATGTTGACCATGACAGACACATCAAGGGAAACCACCTACGTAGGTTATGCGCAAGAACCCAAGGTAACCCCCCTCTTCTGGGTAACTTCAAAGTGGGGCCCACCCACTCTGTTTGAAGGTGCCTGCAAGCCATTCCCCCTAGAGATGGCCTCCTTTGTAGATAGGCAATTAGCTTGAGTACCATTTACATCTTTCAGTTTGGACTATCATCCTCCCAGAGAATCAATAGTCTCTTCTCTCACTTCCTAGCCAAATCCAAGTGATGTCTCCTTGAAACTGTGGGACAGGCAGGGAGATCTGAGCCAGTAAAAGGTCACTGCCTACCTTCGAGCTTTTCCTGTTTACAATCTCTGACCTGTTCTGCTCTACCCCTGCAAAGACTGAGTGCAGCATCTAGGCAGCTTCTGTGTTGCAACTTATTTCTGTTAGGATTTTTCTTGCAGTAATATAAACTCTTTAAAAACCCAGGGTAACTTCCTTCTCACTGCTGGTAGGACAAGCATAAGGGGATTTCAGTTCTGCTCCTGCATAGCATGACATCCCTTGAAGTCTGTAAATATGTTTCTGAGTCTGAGCACCTGTGTATTCCTATCCCAAGTTACACCATACTGAACCCCTATGAAAGTCATCTTGGAATCCAAAAGCCTGTGTCTTTTGGATTCCAAGTTCTGTCCTTCTTTTGCAGATGCAGCCATTTCTGATGTTTCCCTTATCTGATCCTGGCTGGATCTCACACCCTAGTGATTAATTTATCTTTGGACAGAGCGTATAGACATGCTGCAACTAGATTTTTACCCCGCAGCGACCATAACCACCCTGCATTTCTCAAATGGCCCAAAACAGCACTGGAAAGTTCTCTACTGCCTCAGCTGTTGAAGGTAAATCTCATTGCCCCTGAAGAACATTGGTTTATCCTGACGTAGTACAGTCCGGGCTCAGCAGAAGGGTAAGCAGCGGACTGCGAAGCTCCGTTCCCGCGGCAGCGCCCGGCCCGCGGGCAGAGCCGTGCTAGTCGCTGTCCGAGGTGCTGAATCCGACCGGTCTCTGGGCTCGGGTATTCTTCTCTCCGTAGTCTGCCCAGGGCTCCCGGCACTGAACACCCCATCCCTGTCCAAAGTCATGTCTCAAGGGACATAGCGGCCCGTATAAAGCCCAAGAAAGCACCAGCCTTAACTTTGCCTGTAAAATGGATTGAACAGAGGAGATAGGGGCAGGGAGTAGGCTCTGGGGAGGAGAGCCTCCTCCCACTCTCATGTTCTCTCCACTGTCATGTTCCCATAGCAGTGATGGCAAGGCTGGGTGCAGATGAATAAGCCAAGATGAGTCTGACTGCCTGAACCCATGCTAGGCTTCTCCAAGTTGAATGGATGCATACATCCCCACATCCTAGTCACAGGCACGTCTCAAATAATAGATGACATGAGATATCATACTCCAGCCTATTCTCTTCTGAGTCCTTGCACTGTAGATTAAATCTTGAGGGCCTGAGATGCATGTTGAAGGCACTGGTCATAAATACTAGGAGAGAGAAGCAGCAGACTCTTATGACTGTCTCTACATTCTTGTGTCAGATAGATTCCCATCTCTACATGCTTGTACAACACAAAGCAGAATGTTCTTGCATACAGATTGAGATTTCTCAATGGAGCCAGACTGGAGTCGTGAGCTACCCATTAAATCAGTACAGACAAAAGCTTGCAGTGCAGCTTTGCAGCCGTGGAAGATCCAATACAGAGTGGCATAACTCTCTAGGTGGTAGCATGTCCTTTCCCAGCTAGTGAACACTTTAGAGCCACCTAGAATCATGTTTGGGGCAGGCCCTGAAAGGAGCCACACATTATGTCATAATTATGCCACACATAATGCCACACATTAAGTCTGCTTTGGTAGGACATCTGAATTAAGGAAAGTAAGTTAGGTTAAAAGTTCACATTCGTGAGGTGCTGAATCGACAGATACAGATTTGAGCTTGCTAAGCTGGTTTCTCACTGCCAGTAACAGATGCTTTTCTACAGACCTAGACAATTAGTGCCTGTTTTTCTAAATAACATTGCTAGCTTTCCCATCTCTGGAATGCGAGACAGCAGAGTAGGATGGTAAACCACAGATTAACAAAGAAGCAGTGGATTGGTAAACAGAGTTGCAGCTGATGAGACAACAAACCAGAGCCAGCCAAGTGTCCTCCAACCTGACCCAGGCCTTCATCAAAAAGACCATCAAACAACAACCGAGAGATAGCATGTGTAAAAGAACTGAGACTTGGGGTAGGGGGGGATGTCAATCATTCTGGGTACTCATTGTAATAATGAGTAATTTTTTTTGAGTGATAATTTTCTTGAACATCTAATGCATACGTAAGCAGCTTGTTTTTTAAAGTATGTACTTTTCTTGCCCTCCGGTATGCAAGCTAGGTGGGAATACCGCCTTTGCATCTGGCATGTACACAGTGCTGATTAGACATACCTGCATTTTGACTACTCTGTGGTTATAGAGTTTGATTTCTACACATCACATCCCACTCCTAGAATTTTGTTTTCAGCACTTTTTAGGACTTCTAGGGGTATAGAATTAGAGGTTTTAGGCTGGAGGCTACAGTTCTACGTGAGGAAAGAAGCACAGTGTGTTATCCCTTCCTATAGGAACAGACAGCCTCTTCTTATAGAAACTTGGTTTTTCCTACTCAAGAAATAGTGTGTTACTCTCTTGTGCAGATCCTGGGTGGAAGCCATGACTGATCACCACAGATAACCTGCCCATTTTTCATCTTTTCCCACTGTGAATTTCTCCACCACGTATGAACTCAGTGCTATCCATATAAGGAGATATAGAGCTAATATTTATTTTAGTTAGATTAATTTAAATGGCTAAATTTTAACATTAAAAGTCTTCTTTGCCAATTGTCAGCTTAGTATGAAGGAGTAGAGATACAGGCTTTAAAAGAATGCACTCTTGTGCACTCTTCCAAGAATTTTGACATCCTTTGAGGAATAAAGCAGTTCTACTGAAATGGTAGTCTGCCAGCATCTTAAGAAGCCCAGAGGAGACCACATGCCCATGTGTAACATGTGTTGATCACTCCTTCTTCCACCACCGTCAGTGATCTTGGTTGAAGTTACTGAAAAGGCAGAGGACCTCATGGGAGGACTTCTTTGTTCACTTGAAGCAAAGCTTGAAGATGGGCATGGTGAGATAGAAGCAAGTGCCTCCACTTACAAGGTGGTCTAGGGATAAGTTAATTAGAGAAGCATACGAAGATATACAGAGTATGCAAAGGTAAAGTAATCAGTGTATTACTGCATATTTCTAGATGATTACATTCATCAAGAGAATTTTCTTTTTTTTATCTCAGTTTCCCATAAAGCTCTATAGTCTTGTCAGAATGAGTGATACTCAACACCCCAAGATAGCCTTTTTTTTTTTTTTCCATTTGAGCTCACATCAAATGGTCTTTCCTTCTTACCTGGATATTTAATTCTGATCAACATGTGTGGAAAAGTTACAATTTCCAAGTAAAACAAAAAGCATGGAATTAAAAAGTGGTTCAGTAAGAATACACTTTCAAATGCAATTTACTTTGTACTATTTAAGTCACATTAAAGCCAATATTTTTCTGCAAGGAAAATCTATTTTCAGTATAGTTTTACTACTTTTAAAATATTGAGCACTTAACTTCTTCTCATCTCTGAGTCTTGGTGAGCAGATTTGGTTAAAGTTATTGTTCATTTGCACTTGCATTAAAGGACACAGAACCACAATTATGGCATCAGTGTCCTTAAACTATTCTAGCCGCACATAAAAGATAACCACGACTCCTGGATTCTCAGTATCATTGTAGATTTACTACTGTCACACATAACAGAGATCGAAAGCATCGGAGTTTGGAAAGCAGCCTGAGGGTTAGTCTGAAAGATTTCATCCCTCACATGAAATTGTCTTTTTCTGGAAAAGAGTTACATTAGGGATTCCATTTTATTAAGATATTAAAATATAGGTTACTTTGACCCTGAAAATACATGCCAACCAAGACTGAAAGAACTAAACAGATATTGTCATGAGAAAAAAAAAGAAAAAAAAAGATATAGAGCTAAAAAGTCTTACCTCAAAGCACCAAAATGATACAATTTTGCATAATTCTACAGAAAAGATTCCAGATTATATCCTTTATTCAGTGTTATTACTCACTGTAAATATAATGGAAACAGTTGTACTTTCTGTCTTCCGAGAGGATGATGCTTACATGGAAGCTCCATTGATTTTCAAACTAAAAATACAAGAGTAGCACAATAGTAGGTATGGGACTTAAGGACTTTCAAAGTCCTGTCCATGTTTGGATCTTCTAACTGAAATATAACTCTTTAATCATCTTAGTATCATAATGCAATATACTTTCAAACTGGAAATATTCTGGATTGGTTTGCTCCACTCAGTTCCAAATGTTCAATTTGCAAATGTTGATCTCACTCTTTCAATTAGAGAGCTATGGAGAGGGATTATGCAATGTTGACTGGTCCAAGAGAGCATTTCGCTACCTTGAGTGAAATTTACTGGATAAAGTACAGAAATAGCTTTCTGAACAGCAAAATTCTTATCTCTCTGTGACTCATCCATTGGATTAAGCTGGAAATACCCCCACTTCCATTTGCTGCTTGACAATCTATACTTCAGGCAGGGAAAAAAAGTGCTTTAACAAAAGAGGAAGATTAAAGTACAAGCAGGGGAAAGAAGGAAAATCTAAAAAGCTTAATGATTTAGGAGCTGTCTTGAAAGATAGCATGTGTGAGTTTGAAAGCATTCAGACTTGGACAGAGCTAACCTCTGTCTCCCATAGCTCAAATCAATCCATCTTTAAGAGCAAGAAATCAGGCAAAGATGGCAGGAGACATGGATTGTCTAAGAGCTTATGGAAAAAAGAATATAGGAACATTTTCAGGCATGCAAGAATGACGCAAGGAAGACTAAGTCCTACTTGGAATTAAATCTGGTGAGGGAGGTCAATGGCAACAAAAAAGATTTCTTTAAGAATGGCAGATGCAAAAAGGGAGGCTAGTGAAAATGTAGGCCTTCTGCTGAATGAGGTGGGTGCTTTGAAAACAAAGGACACTAAGTAGGTGGAGTTATTGAACATCTTTTTTGCTTCAGTCTTTACTGTTAGGAATTCCTCTGAGGAATTCCAGGTTCTGAAGATAGTCTGGGGAGAGGAAGACTTCCTTTTGGTTGAGGAGGATCTGATCAGAGATCTTTTAGGCAAATGACACACACAGATCCATGGGCCCTTATGGGATGCATCATCAAGTGCTGAGGGAGCTGACAGAGCTGACAGCATTTGATTGCAAAACCTACTTCTATCATGAAAGATCATGGAAGAGAGGTGCCTGAAAAATGGTGGAAAGTCAATATAACTCCAGTCTCCAAAAAGGATGAGAAGATGAACTCAGGACACTACGGGCCAGTCATCCTCACCTGCATCCCCCAGAAAGTAATGGAGCAGTTTATTCTGGATCTCTAAGCAAATAGAAGAAGTTTATTAGAAGCAGTCAGCATGGACTGACCAAGGGGAAATCAGTGCCAATAAATATCAAGTGAATGTGGCAGGATATTTTCAGCAGTGCCAGTGACAGAACAAGGGGCAATGGGCACAAACTGGAACATAGGAAGGTCCATATGAGCATGACAAAGAATTTCTTTTCAGTTATAGGTACTGGAATAAGCTGCCCAGAGAGGTTTTGGAGTCTCCTTCTCTGGAGATATTCAAAACCTGCCTGGATGCTTTCCTATGGAACCGACTGTATGGAATACGCTTTAGCAGGGAGTTGGACTTAGATGAACTCCAGAGGTCCCTTCCAGCACTTAAAATGCTGGTTTTGGTTGGGATTCTAGACACAGACACAAGAAGTTAGGAGTTGGAAGGCTCCAATATTTTCATCTGTTTTGAAGGATCACTTCTCCTCCTGGTGGAGGAAGATACTGACATTGAGGATGAGTACTGATATCCACCTGATTATGAATCCAAAACGTTAGGAGAAACCTTGCTGCAGGTCTGATTAAAGCACTCACCCTCAGAGGGTGAAGAACGTCGCCTTCATACCTCAGCCTTCCACAGTGAGTATCAAAAGAACTATCCTCTTTTTAAGCATGCTGAATCAATTCTGAATCCACGTTACAGAATATTATAGCAGAGTTGTTACAGCTCTGAATCTGAGCTAATAATACACTGATGCACCACTAAAATCTTTACATTTTGTCTTGCTTGCCTATAGTAATGGCTTAGTGATCTCACATCCAACTACAAAAAGCCACACAGATGTGTCTTTAGGTAACTCTTCTCTGAAAAGACTTCTTTGTGAGTACAGTACCGAGGCATGGACTCCATGTTTTAGATAGGCAATGTCAGTGCCTTTCTGACAAACTCCACTCTGCAAACCAGTGACACAACACAGCACACCATGTTCTTGGTCTGAAGAAACCATTTCGGGATTAGTGCTTGTGCAAATACAGTATATTTTTGCATATTTTGCATATTTTTGTGATAAATTTCTGTTATTGAAGCTGCAGCATACTTGCTGTCTTTTCCACTAGCATCTGTGCTTTTAGTCAATGGCAACATCAAATTCTGAAGAAAAAAAAAAAAAGTATTATTTCAGGACAGAGGCGTTCATGTGTAAAAAAAGAGGTACAGTTTCACCAAGCGAAGTCATGGTTTACAGGGCCAGGCAGTATGCAGACTTCTGAAGCATATAGAGTTCAGCATTTCATGGAAACTTGCACAAATGTGAGGAAGTGAGGGGAGAATGTCTGAGAGGAAAAAAGAATAAAAGATGGATTACTCTGTGTTGGTCATTACTGTTCTGTCACTGGGCCAAGTGTGGTAACACAACCCCATGTTTGTAACAGGCCGTAGCACTGCATGGTGGAGATCTCCCCCTTCTGATAATTTTGTTACGATATATGTGGAGAGTTTCCCTAGATTCCCAGTACTAAGATTATTGTTAGGCTTTAATGAGAAAAAAATGGATTAGTGTCTGAAGGCCAAAATAATAATAATAATAATAATGATAATTGATATATATGATATAGGCATGCAGTACACAGTAAGATAATAAACTGAAGCTAAGTGAAGACTGGCATTTTTGCATGACTTCTTCTATGTAGCCAGTGATTTGCAAGAGTTACAGAAAATCTTCATTTGATCTTCTGGAGGGCATTGCAGAGGATCCCCATCTCACCTGTAAAGAAAATAATCAGACTAATTAGTCCTACAGCTAGTTTATTTCTAACGTTTATGTATATTATATAACAGTATATAATGTATACTCTATACAACATATACTTATATAACAGTATATAATATATTATATACAGTATATATTTATATTTATAGTTATATTCATTCCCTGGGGGAAAAAAAAAAAAAACAAAAAAAAACAGTTTTCAGAGACAGCCCTTCACTTTCATTAGTCATACAAGGTTGGCTTGTAGGATCAGGAATGCTGATTCTTGGCAGGGTAGCCAATGTTAGGAAAAAAATATATCGTGAGAAAACTAGAAACAAAAAAGGAATATATAAATAAGCCAAACTGCTCTTCTTCAATAAAAACACCTGGCGACACAGATCAGAAACCATTACAGGGCCTCTGAGTTTTCCTAGCACCTCCAGTTAAAATGGATATTTCAGATGTAACTAACTATGGTCAACTAGAAGTGCTATTTTGAAGCTTGTCTATAATTAGAAAGGAATTTTTGTGCAATAAAAGATATCTGATGCTTGATCATGGTCAAGCTCAGAGCATAAAAGGCAAAGACAAAATCTGTTTTGTGGTTATTATTTCTGATTTGAGCTTAGAGGTATTCAGGCTAACAGAGCCATAGTTCCTTACTGTTGATAGTGTCAGCTAAGTTCTTCAGCTGCTTTGCATTGTCCAAGACTTCGATCCTCTGGGTGTAGGGATTGTACCGAACAGAGAAAGGACGAGGGATTGTTTGGGCAAATTTCCTGAGGCAAAAATAGAAAAACACATGCAAATGTGAAAAGTTCCGTTTTTCAGCAACTCTTCTCAGTTGGCATGTACATTTGCTGATGATGGGAGGAAGGAACTGAAATTCCTGCTGAGTGAGATGATGGTGTTCTGTAACACACTTGAATCTTCATTTGTCCTTACCACCTCTAGTTTTTCCAGACAAATCTAATTATTCTACACTTCTGACACAGGACAGCTACATAGCTATCAGTATTTGCCAAACAGCAAGATCTCATTTTTCTTTCAGTAATGCAAAATCCTGATCCGCGTCTACAATTTCTGGAAAGCAAAGTCAAATATTATCATATTATGCCTCCTGCAATATCAGGCAACAGGCAAACTTCTGGCATGGTTGGTAGTGGTTCCCAGGTCACTGAAAAATAAGAGTCAGTGAAGTGAAGCCTTTGCCACCCTTATTCTCAGCCTTCTCTGCTGCAAAATAGTTAATTCCATGGCAGAAACATTAAGATTTAAGTATCTTGGGATAACACTAATTTGCATTACCACAGAATTGTAGAAGGGAGAGCTGAGTGGGAAAAGATGGTGAGAGCTATTGTTCCAGGCTCTTTGCAGGACCCAGCAGGATACTGGTTTATATATCTGCTTCAGATTACTGAAGTTATTGCTGAAGGAGGAAAGAAAGCGAACAAGAGTTGATTTTGAAGCCTCACTGTATAGGCTGTGACTCAGCATGGTTAATCCCATATTCCCAGAACAGTGAAATATGTTGGATGCCACTTCTACATTGCTCCTCAGTTTAGCCCTAATTATTATCAGAGAAGGCCATTGTTTCCAATAGAGTTCAGTGTGAGCAGGCTACAAGGTATGACAACAGAAAACGATTACACTGACTACAATGAAAGAATTTAGTATTGTCTGTTCAGCTTTACTAAGTGAGAAGGTCCTCTTTAGAAGATGGTCTTCTTAAATATCTGCTGCAAGTAAGATCCTTGTTAGAAGATGAATACCTCTAGGTGAGATATTTCAGGTCAACCTCATAATTTTTCAGAGAGGTGTTCTATTACACACACGCGTACACACACACATAACCCACCAACACAGGCACTGAAACAGCATCTTCACGTCTATTTAACCAGTTTTCCAATTCTATTTTTGAAACAAGTGAAAGAAGCAATAAAACCTATAAAGTAAGGAGTTTTCTATAGAGTAAGGCAACATCTTTTTCTCTTTAGAGTAAGACTTTTCCTCACCTGGAGAAGTACACAGTGAAGATAGAAACTGTATGCAGGATGTTAATAGCATAATCCGGAGAAGAAAATTATCTTTTTCAAGTATTGCCTCACAGAAAAAGGCAGGAGTAGAGGCTACAGGTTAATGATGACTGAGGAAACAGTAGGGGAGGTAGCAAGGAAGACATAGCACCAGGGAGCCTGGGGCAGGTGAATGTCTTGGTATGTGTTAATCTGCAAATGGAAGAAAGTGGAAGAGAGAAAGAAAAATAGAGACGGCAGATCTCGGACAAGTCCCTGTATAGCATCTGCTGTGAAAGATTTATTGAGCGTGAACAAGATTAATCCCCAGATGCTTGGCTAATGTCCAGAAGGAATGTTTTTGTTGATAATGTTATTACAGAAAAATAGAAATATTTCTGTGAGGTGGAACCCAAGCTGAACCCTAAGTGCAGTCTGAGCCAGTTCTGTTTCAAGAACCAGAACTGAAACTGGACTTTTGTTTCAAAGTCTTGTACTGGAACTGAATTTGTATTTGAGTCACAGATGACTCAAAGATTTATTAAGTAGCCCTGTAGGCTTGTAAACACACTGTTCGCAACAAGCTGGAGGCTCTGTATTAAGCTAACAACAGAGGCCTCAGGATTGGTGTTATTAGGCTTGCTGCTAGTTTCATTTAGTTGTAATATCAGTTGTCTAATGACCATGTATCTACTACCCAATTTATCACAGTTTTGCTCAATTCTGAAAAATTCTGCTTTATAATGCTTAGTGTTAATAACTTTTGTATAGGCAGGAATATCAAGTAGTTATGCTGTACAGGGTGAATTAAGTCAGACCCTAAAGTATGATATAACATAAGGATCTATTAGAGGGCTGATAAATGAGGCCTAAGGGCATGAGGATAAGATGGGATAGAATGGGAAGAGATAGGATGGGATGGGATGGGATGGGATGGGATGGGATGGGATGGGATGGGATGGGATGGGATGGGATGGGAATGGAACAGGCTAGGGTAGCATGTGGTAAGGTAGATGATGCTGTGGTCCCGAGGCTATCAGAAGTTCCCACTGATTAGGTGTTCATAGTAACCTAGGAGCTGAGGGAAAACAAAAAACAGACAAACAAAAAACTCACAGATACAATTTGAGATGAGAAAAAAGATGTAAACAAAACAAAAAAGATGTAAAGCATATTAGAAAAGACCCTGAACAGACCTTGGGCTAAGGAGGAAGAAAGGAAATGTAAACATATTTATCCTCCTCAGGAAAGAGAGGAAGAAATACTGTATATTAGCATCACAATCTTGCTCTGAGGACCTCAGGAGCTGCTGATAGCTTGAGAGCTCCACCCCCTAACCCCTGACTAAAACTGTTGACTTTAAGACACAAAAGAAAGTGTAAGAGTGAACATAAGTTGAAAAGAAAAGGGAAAAGACACAAGAAAAAAAAAATGTAATAACAAAGTTTAACTATATTATTGTTAAATAAACTTGTTTTGCCTTAATTTGCTAGCTTTGACCCCTGGTGTTATTATCATTGCAATTGGACTGCTAATCTGGGTTCTTGTTTTTAGTTTTTTTTTTTTGTTTGTTTGTTTGTTTTTTTAATATATTTTGGTTAAGCAGGTGAAGCTCTTAATTAGAGCAACCATGAAGTTCTTGACTTCATATACCTATGGCTTTTCTACCTATGAGAAGATTTTGAGTGTAACAGCTGCTTAGACTCCTAGAGCATTGCACAACTTTTTCTCAAAACATTTCCGTCATACCAATACCTGTTACAACAATGAGATCTGTTGCATTTGGCCTGGATAAAGAATTGGGTTATATATGGAATGATTGGCTTACCTTAGCTTTTCCTTCGCATCATTAAAACTTTCAGCAACGAAGTAGACAGGCTGGAACTCAGTAACAGTGTAATTCTGCACAGAAGTGTTCTCCAGAACCAGAGGCCGAATCTCAGGCTTACTTGATAAACAGTACTATAAGCAAAAGGGTAAGAAATCTGTTTCAGTTAAATAATGCTTTAATTTTTTATGAAAGAAAGATACAGCCCCTAAATACCCCCCCAGTTTTACAGGGGAAAAATCTGCTGCTGTGGAATACCAATCATATGGTAACTTAATAGGGAAGAAGCAACTATGAGACATTTCTATGTAAATACACTGACACATTATTATATAGAACACTTCAACAAAATATAACATTATGTGCTATGGAGTATGAAGCAAAATAAGGATCTAAAGACAGCCAGAAGATATATTTGAGTAATTTTAAAAACCAAGGCATGAACCGTATATCATGATTGAAATATTGTTTTAAAGAACATACCTGCAGCTCCCCAAATGAAGACAGCAGCCCAGCACCGTATGCCTTTAGTGAATCACCTTCCTTACATAGTCCAAACTCCACAGTAAACCAATAAACCTAGCAAGAAAATTATACGGGATATGATTCTTGACCAGAAATGACAGGTACACATCATTAATTTGAATGCGTTTAGAATTTGCATTTCTATTTGAAATGTTGCCGTATGTCAAACAACAAATGTATAAATACAGGAAATGTTTTCACAGATTGAAATTCTTCTGAGAGGGCCACGCTAGACTCAATGTGTCTGCAAATTCAGTTCCCTGACAAACAGTGTTGTGCTTTACTGTGCTTACAGTTGTCAGCAGAGCAGAGACAATGAAAACATAGCAATAAAATTTCATTTTGGCTGGCCAACCCAGCTGAAGTTTGAACCTTTGATGATAGAAATATGTTTCCTGTTTTACTCAGAGGGTGTCTGGCTACAGCATCACAGAAGAAATGAGCTGTTATAGCAATAGTAGATCCTACTGCATGGCCTCACTCAACTTTTTGCTCTGCCACTACATATTTGAAGGGACACTCACTCTTGCTCAAATAAAACCCCCTTCATCTATCAAAAACAGCAAAGATAATGCAGCACTCTGCCCAGATGATTTGGCACTGGTGACACTAATCTCATATTCATATCCTGATGTGGGGTCACAGTTCTCCCAGCGCATGATTCAGATGGATCACTGACTGCAGAGGATATTATCTGCTTGGCAGGGTAGAAGAAAAGAGACCCCGGCAGATAGAAGAGTTTTACTGAAGCTGTCTTCCAAATTTTCCCAGGGGCATGTAGTAACACTCAGTCTCTTCTTGCCCAATGTTTGTAATGATGAAAGACTTGACCAACCCTCTGTTTTTAATCAAAACTGTCACTTGGAATAAGAGGTGCCAAAATTATTTTCCTTTAGTGCAACTAAAGTGCAACTAAAACCTTTAGTGTTTCAGGGTGAGGTTTTCCAATCATGGACTTCACTCAGTTCTCATTCAACTCTATGGGAGTTCTATCAGTGACCTCAGTGGCAGCAGAATTAAAACAACACAGGGTGCCTTGGAGAACTGAGCTCTCATTTATTAAATTACCGTAGCAAGTTTCTCGATGAAATCATCTGGAGCTCCCAGAGATGCCAGGCCAATTTCCTGCAACAATAAACCATTATTCTTCAAGTCATTTATTGCAAACATTCTTCCTGTCTTGTCTTATGTAATTTCTCCCATTTTAAATGTTACCATCTCATACTACCACACACAAATGTTTACAGGACTTGTTCATATCATGCAGCATCAATTTTAAAGCAGAAATCTCTCCAGAAATGAACAAAAGAGTCCCATCTAAGTGTCATTTATGAGGCACAACTCTTTAAGTCTGCTTCAAAACCCACTGAGGTCAAACAAAATTTTCATCAAGCCTATAATGCACACCAAAGAGAATGATAGTCAAAGAGAGATAAATCACTCACATCCATACACCTCTAATATTTATCTCTTCTTCAAGGAGTCCTTACTATAAGAGCTTTCTTGCAGCCTTGAAAGAGAGGTGTGTTTGTTTGGTTGGGGGTTTTTTTGTTGTTTCTTTTTTTTCCAAAATTTAGGGCATGAGTTGAAAAAGCTAGCTTATAACTTGGGAGCTAATGAAAACTTTCCTAGGAAGCATGCAATATCTGAATTCAGAAGACAACCATGCAAAACTGCATAATAACCAGATATCTTTCTCGGTTTACTCCAGGGTGAATTGGACATCAAGAATTAATCATCCACCTCTCAGGCCTCCACACACCAAAAGCATTGGAACAACTATTGCCATGGTAAATTCTAGTAAGATGAAGGGCAGTAGGACTTATGTTGAAGGAAATTCTGGGAAAGGCCTTTCCTGAGAGCAAAACTGAACTACATCAAATTAACTACATCAAATCAACTTCTGTTCTGTGAGCGAGACGTTACATCAAGGTTGTTATTCCTTGCCTCCATCTTTCTGTCCTTCTGACCTTCCATTCTCTATGCTTTCTGTCCTTCCTATCTTTCTCTTTGTCTTCCTTTCCTTGCATTTCTTTTTTCTTCTTTCTGTCTTTCTGTCTATGCCTTTCTGTTTTTTCTTGTTTTATGGTAAGATGCAGCCAAAAGTTTACTTTTTCCCTGAGGTTTGGCTTCTTTTCCAGTCATGTTAACATTACCAAAGAGAAAACTTTTCTCCAAACTTTTTCCACACTCACAAGCAAGATAATTCCTCACTTTACATCTCTGCAATACCTTCCTTCATGGCTTAAAAAAAAAAAAAAAAAAAAAAATCTTTCTCTAGTATTTGGACTACAGAATGAATTGATAACCCATATGATTCATGATCCATTCAACTTTTCCCAGAAGTATCAGCATCTACAGAGAAGTTTTTAGGTGAATTTTTCCCAAAAGTCTTGCCTGTAAAAAGCAAACCACACAAGACAGACATTTGGGGTGTGGGCACTTAAGATCATCTATGTGATTTGTGTCTAGATTTCAGTAAGTCATAATTCGTAGCCTACATGGCATCAGCTGTACTTTCATACAGTTTCAGCCAGGAGCATAGCAATGTTCTCTCTCTTCTGGCTTGATTCTTCACAAATCTTTAGAACCTACTACCTATGGACATTTGTAATTTCTGTACCTATCAATTATGAACGAAATCTTCACATTCAGGTGACCAAAAAGCAAGGAAAATAATTAACACCATTTGTTATTTTGAAAGGGAGACTCAGCTGACTTCATCCATACTTTAATAATCTTGAAGGTGAATTCTCCCTTATCCCATCTCATTTCATCCCATTCCATGTCATCCCATCCTGCACCATGTCATCCCATGCCATGCCATGCCATACCATGCCATCCCATCCTATCCTATTCCTCATGGCTCTTGGTTTGTCCTATTAATTACCTAGTCTGTGATGTGTTCAGTTTTAAAAATAGTATAAATACTAAGTAACTTACCTGGGAAAACTGAGCAAAACTGGGATCAGCAAAAAGAGGCACATGTCCTAGTAGCTCATGGCAAATATCACTGCAGGAAAATATGACATGTAGGTAAATTTAATTTAGGAAATGCACTCCTATGAGCAAATAATGCTCAGGAATCTTGGAGTAAATTTTTCCTGCATTGAGATGGTTTGCACTTCTGTGGCTTTTCAGTGGTTTTATCATACATCAGCCAAAGGAAGGATATGTTATTTGTTTTTCTTCATGGAAGGAAATAATGCTTCCAACTGTCCAATTCTTCAGCTCAGGAAAACCAAGGAAGAAATCACCTCACCAAAGGGAACATGCACTATTCTGTCTCAGGGGCAGGAAATACCTTTAGATGAAGCTCATGCTACAGGCAGCCCAGAAGCTCAGCCCCAGTCACTGTTCAGGCCTAGAGCCCCCAACTGAAAGATGGGAGCTCTCAGTTCCTCAAGTGGAACTGTTTTCATCATGATTTGAACAAGTGGCTGGCATGTTTGGGGAAGAACTTACCTACACACTACTAGATTCCTCAAAGACAGAGAAGCGGTTTGATGAAACAAGAAGTGAAAAGGAGTGAAATACTCCCAGGAGGCCAAGGTCTGTGCAAGATGTTTACAGAAAAGGCATTCAAGGAGATGCATGCCCAGGAAAACTGGGCTCCACCAGACCAACTGGACAAGAATTGAATTGGGAATGTCAGAGGCCAGGGTCTCAGAGGGAAAGATACCAACTAAGATGTGAAATATGTAATTTATTGCACCCTCCCAGAGACAAAACACAAGACTTGTAGGAACTGCACAACAACAGGGGTTGGCAGTGAGGCTTTCCACTGTACCATTTGCCCGAGTTTGCCTAGACATTTTGTGAAGAGATGAGAACAAAACATTTCAGTGTGGCTTTGTGCAGGATGGCAATAGGGTGAGGAGAAGCAGGGAGGAAAATTAGAAGAATAAGGAATGGAAAAATGGGGAGGAAAGGGAGGTTGTGGGAAGAAGTAGAGAGCAAAGAAACAGAGAAGAAGGGCCAGAAGAGCTGCAGTAATATGAAGCAGAGGAAGAAGAGGACTTACTTGAACACAGTAAGTGGAAATGGACAACGGACAGTGACAGAGAGAAAAAATATAAAACTTTAAAAGAAAAGGAGTCACTGATATGGGCTTCATTTATCTTTCTACCAGAAGCTTGCTTGCACCATGTTGAACCACTTCTGCATTAGATTTCACACTACTGCTTTGGGTGTTAATAGGTAAGCCAGATGTTTTTGTACACTGCTTTCTCACCTTCCAGCCACCATGTTAGCATGTCATCAGTTAGCAAAACTGTCTGATAAATCCCAGAAGAACTTTCAGAAGTGGATACAACTTACTAAAAAGACTAGAAACCTTCAGTGTTTTCAGAAGAGCGGTCACTTGGCTGTTCTCTGTTAGATCTGTTCCCAAGAGTGCTCTGAAGTCCTGCATTTGTTATCAGTTGTCCTCATCCTACAATTTTACTTACTTTCTATTCCAAAATACTTACGGCTCTGGTGTGTACATAGGTTTGGATGCATGGCGAATATATTGCGTAGAGTGAAATACTCGGAATGCCAGTCCAGCCAAGAAATCCCGAGAGGAGAGCAAGCCCGCAACAGGACGCAGGCGAAATCCAGTGCAGGCTGAAGGGACAAAAACATGGCATTTCAAAAGCAGCTAGGATGCTTGATCTATCCTTACCTGGACACCTTGCAGTAAAAGAACATTTTTAATTGTTTTCTTTGCTCTAACTATGTTAAACAGAATTTAACTGCAAAAGGGCAGGGAATTTTCTGCCCATGTGTACAACCATCATAACATCTGAGCATGCGTAACACTATACTTCTGAAACATTTAGAGAGTGGTATGAGACAGTCTAAATGATGTGACCAAGTGCTCACAGAAAGTCTCTGTGAAAGCATCACCTGCACAAACATTTGTGTTTGGCAGGTTTGTTTCATTTTGTTTCTTCCTTCTTTTTTTCTTCTTTTTTTTTTTTTTTAATGAGGTTTTTTAATTTGTCTGTTTTTGTTTTAACGATTCAAACATACTCTGCAAGAACTTTGAAACATCTTCAAGCTGGGGAATGTTATCCTCCCGGTAGCCACAGTACTTCTCCAGAAGTGGGAAGACATGGTTGTGTTCATAACAAGCATGAGTTGGATAGAGATTCTTCAGCTCTCTGAAGACAGTGCCCCAAGTTTTCTTTTCTTCTTCTGTGTAGGTAACTCGAGGAATAGGTTGACCACTGGAAACAAAAAAGAAAAAAAAAAAAGAAAAAAAAAGATGCACTCAATAGGAGTGACAGAGAAATTGTCCAGTTCCACCAGCATCCCACCCAGGAACTTTCCATGGGCTGACCAGGACTACAGTTGCAGGAAGGAAGACACCTTGGCTCTGACATGCAGGTGCCAAGCAAGCTTCACTTGTTCCTAGGCAATGTCTGGGAAGAACTCACTGAACTCAGATGAGAATGCAGATCTTGTTTAGCTAAGAGACAAGAAGGCTCTGGGAAGACCTCATTGTGGCCTTCCAGTACTTGAAGGAAGCATATAAACAGGAGAGGGAATTGATGTTTATGAAGGTGGATAGTGATAGGACAAGAGGAAATGGTTTTAAACTAAAAAAGAGGAAACTTAGGTTAGATATTAGGAGGAAGTTTTTTGCTCAGAGGGTGGTGATGCACTGGAACAGGTTGCCCATGGAGGCTGTGGATGCCCCATCCCTGGAGGCATTCAAGGCCAGGCTGCATGTGGCTCTGGGAAGCCTGGTCTGGTGGTTGACAACCCTGCATATAGCAGGGGGATTGAAACTAGGTGATCTTTGAGGTCCTTTTCAATGCAGGCCATTCTATGATTCTGTGAGAAAAAGGCCTTTAGTACATTTCTTGCACTACGGTGATGCCAATAAATTAGTGCTTATTTGTCTTACTGAAATATTCTTTTAAAAATATGAACCGGTTGATGATTTCAGTTTCTTTCCATTACCAGGCATGGAACAGCTGTTGAATTTCTTGCTCTAGTCCACACAACATTAATTGTCTTTGTTGAAAGAGGGATATGATCAGCTCCAGAAAATTCTGCTTTGTGGGGGTCAAAGAAACTCTGGGGTGGGCTTTGTGCTACAACAGGTGCAGACTTCAAGTAGTTTGACTTTTTTATTGTAACACGTAATTTTGAGTCAAATCCCACCCTCAGGCCTCCATGTACTTAGCTCATGTTGAAGCTAGCAGGTATTAAGACAATCACAAGCAATGTGTTTTGGCCTCCTGTGAATAGTCAATTCTTAGCAATAATGATAGGGCCATAGGTGAATCCAACAGCTTTGAAAAATCAAAGGGTTTAAGTAACTTAATAGGGTTAACATCACTGCTGGAGTAATGCTGGAGCTTTCCAAGCCCCAGAGACACATTGTTAACTCTTGATGACACGCCACCATCCCACTCTCTCATTTTTCTCTTGAGCCTCAGGGCAGCTGCGCTGGAGCACTCATTTTCTGCACCTCTGTATCAGCCCTCCTTGATCTGTGGAGCCTTAAACATCAGGTTGGATTATGAATCTTGCTGGGGGATTTTTGTTTCTATAGAACTTCTAAGTAATTCTCAGACACCTTCCTGGGCAACAGGGGGAAGATATGGCTTAAAAATCTTTCAAATTTCAATTTAAAATTTGCAGGGATCCACAGGGACAGAAGCAAAGGAAGACAGAAGGAAGAAGGCAGGCTGAGAAAAGCAAAAACAAGTCAGGGAGATGAGGAATTCAATGAAAATGAATGGTAAAAGTACCAAGAAAGAAGGCAAAAGAACATGGGTAGAGAGCAGCAAATGCAACAAAAAACAGCAGGACAAAAGAAAACAAAATAATCACGGAAGAGTGTGCACATAAGAAGATTAAAGTGATAAGGGAAATAAAAGTATGAGAAAACTGACCAAAAACTCACCTCACCTTTGTAACTGACATTACAAGCTAAGCATCTTTGCCTTTTCAGATACTTTCCACAGTGCCTCATAGCTTTGGTTGTTCCTCTCCTCCTGCCTGCTTCTCTATGCTCCTGTCCCTCCATGCAGGGGACACCCCCTTGGTCTCTACTGTCCTGCTGCAGACCTTGAAAGACATCCTCCAGGTGAAGCAGCCAGATAAAGTACACTATCTATGTGGGCCTTCATGACTCAGCATCCAAAGCCACAAAAAAACGACATCTTTCTTCAAGACCCAGAACCCCAAATGTGGGTTTTTCACAGTGTCCTGTAGCTGAAAGATCTTATTTAAAAGTCCAAGAATTGCACATAAAAGGTGCTTTATGGAAATCTGTTCTAGCCTGCAGAGGCTCCAAAGTGTCTGAGAATTTGGATAACAGACTAACTAGTAATTAGCTACATCTTGGAATATAACGGTTTCATCTCCCTAAGCAGGTTTCGGGTTGAATATAGCAGAGGAGGCAGAGGGTAAAATATGAACTCATTTTCATTTTATTTCTGTGTAGGATATGATGAAAGCCTGCAAACTAGAGACCAAAATTTGCTATCTGCTAACTGAGAAAGAAAGAAATCTTCTATGGGATACTTACAAATGGAAACTAAATCCATCTAAATTTGGCCACAGAACCTTATTCAATTTTTCTAGCTGTAAATTGGACTTCTGACTTTTTTCACCTGGCTTTTTTTCACTATACATCAATTAGGCCAATTATTTCTCTCATTTTATGATTGCATTATAAGCTTTTTGGCTCAGGAATTATCTTTTCATCACAGTTCTATCTGAAGTAGCGCTCTAAATGTACAACATATGTTACCTTATCATTCGCAATCACAATTTTTTACCAGTCTCAGCAAGAATCAGACCAAATAGTACTGATGTAAATGTGTGAGTGGCTCTGAGAACAGAATTCTATCTCCTCCAGATTTGATCACTGGAAGCAATCAAGCAAGCCTGTTCTAACTGAATTTATCATCTCTATTCATTCATTTTTCTTGGGAAATTAGAGCCCAAGCTGCTGATTGCAGCTGGGTCAGACAAGATAAAAGTAGAGTATCAGGCGCTGGATTAGCATCAGAACCATAAGTTATTCATTATTTTAATAGTGTATGCAGCTCCTGCTTTAATGTAAATGATAGGCTCTCCTCCCCCAGCCCTGTTTTAATGAGGAGAATGCCAGAAACAGCTTTATTCGATGTTCAGGTCTTTGTAGTAGCAACTAAGTCTGCTGTTCAATTAGACAACAAAGCCAGAGATAAGGGATGCTGTGGGGAAAGAGGATAGGCAATGTTCTCAGCTGAACATGTGCCTGCAACAATTTACTTATGTTTTTCTGCAATTTGAGGATAAATGCATGGACAGGAAGATTTAAACATACAAAAAAGAAAAGCCAGCAGAGGCAAGACTCTCGTGAAAGAAAACAGGGCTCACAGCAGGGACAGAACCCCATAGAAGGCAGGAGACATGGGTTTGCTTTCTGCCTGCACATTGAGCACTCACTGTCTGTAGTTGTAAGCAATGTCTGCAAACTCCTTCCTCCGGGCCCGGTACACAGGATCTTTGAATCCCTAAAGAGAAACAGCAATGATGGGTAAATGCAGGTGGTGAAGAGCTTTTCTTCTGCTGAGAGCATGGCTGGTCTGAGGAGCAGTGAGCTTCTAGGGAGCCCCAAAAATACAGGATTTAATCACTATAGAGAATGTCTATTAGACTTTGTGGTTAGCAGTTTGACCTTTGCAGCTAATCATCTGTCTGATCAGAGTTAAATACAATTTCTAAATCTTCTACTGGGATAACCATTCTCCTATCCCAGTGTGACACTTATAGGATGTAAGTTCCTCAGGGCTAGGAGTGTTTTCATCACCTAAAGTGATGTCCTTCCCAGATAGAAGAAATATCTACGAGGCAAATAGCAGTAAATTCATGGGCACTGCCGGAGTTCATGAATGCCTCCCTCAGGGATGCATGGCGTGAAAGGACTGAGGGGCCATGAAACACAACCAGGTACAGGATACAGCCAAGGTGGAGCATTGATTGAAGAGCACCAGTCAAATAAAGGCCAACAGTGGCATAAAAAACACTGTCTCAGATTAACATGGTACAGATGTATTTGTGGTAAAATCTCATACTTAAGTACTAAAATATCAAAGGCTTTTTTAATTTCTCTCTTTCTATATTCTGTATGTTGCTATGTCTATTTACCTAGAAATTGTCTTCTTTCTTAACACAATCTGAATAAAGTACTCTCTAAATAATTCTAGGAAGCAAAGCTGTTCATTCCTTTCAACATCTATGTTTTTGTTTCTTTCTTTGAATACAGTCTTGGTCTATTCCCACATGATACATGAGGGGGCCATTGGCTCAATGTATCTCCTTTCATTCTGCCTTTCATATGACTGCACCAAGTATCATGAATCATTGTATATGATACATAACACCTCTCGAATTAAGCAATAGGTAGTGAATGACTAATCACCTCATCTCAATTAAACTAATAGCAGCAATTTTTGTTGCGCTGCATGTAATTTATTTATAATCATCCTATCTCAATTAAACTAATAGCAGCAATTTCTTTTGCACTGCATAGAACTCGGTGTGTATTGACAAATGAAAATAAGTTGTTTGCTTGGAGAAGAAGTAAAAGCAGCAAGTATTCTTCTATTTGGAAAAGCTGAAAAAATGTTCAGCTAAGCCAGTGAGTAAAACTACCTAACTCTACCACTTTAACCATGACCTTTTGAAAAAGGAACCTTTTCTTTTTTTGTGTCTCGTGAAACAAGAATCGTGACAGATTTAACAACTACATCACAATGCTCTGAGCTCAATTGTGTGTTTGTCGTATAAAATGTAAAAACACTCTTCCTAACTCCAGGCTGTTATACATTGCTTTTGAAGATTTTGTTGTTAGTGATTCATAAACTGAGTCTCAAGTCAGCGTATCAGAGCCATATGGGAAAACCAGAGGTGTGCCTGTCGTGGCCTTCAGCTTGATGAAGTCTGTGACTCTTCAGGTCTGCTGGTATATGCTTAAATTAAAGCAACTTCAGGGTTGCTCTACTTCATAGCAGGGAATGAACAGATTCTAGCTCTAGAAATATGGCGCCTCTCTTGTTTTAAACCTTGAAACTTAGTCTACTGTATTTGTCTTAAAGCAGAGCAAATGCAAATAAGAGAAACGTCTATCCAAATAACTAGAAACATGTGGACAAAAAAAAAAAAAAAACAACTAAGTTCTTTTTCTCACAGGATGGTCAGCATCCAGCTCCGCTCCATAACTTAGGATCTGATTGGCAAATCTGTCCAGCTCCTGAATACTTCTTGGGAACCATGGCACTGCGAAGTAGAACAGAAACAGAGGCTGTTAGGCTTCTTTGTTGGTTGGTTTGGGGCCTCCTTCTTGTCTATCCATCTCTTAAACATAAATATAAAGAAACACATGTAAGGATCTAATGTCTTCAGACTTCCTTTTCCTGCAGTAGAAGGCAACAGAAAACCCTGCAGATCGTGTTGAATTTGTGGTTGTTCTGCACTGTGGGAAAAATACAGAGCATCAGGAAAGTCCAGCCCTTGGCACAGAGCTAGCTTGTGATGTTTATGATTTTCTGTTTATTATTCTGGTTTCTTGGCTTACCAAAACATAGGAATTTTTCCAGACTGCCCTTGCTTTCACAGTAGCTCAAATCAACTGTTTCAAAGGAATGCCTTCTGAAAATCTCTTTCTAAGACTTACTTGGTGGCCTCACTTAGACTTGGATGCCAAAATAAAATGATAAATGGCACTCTGATACCTCAAACTAGCATTGTATTACTGCACTCATTATACAATAATGTATTCATTTAATTAAAATTCTGGGCCTGGTTCTTCATTGCCTTGTAACTCACATTCTATACACGCTTCCTGCAGTGCAGCCAGGATATGAAATGGGACCACACTGACTACATGGCATGCAATGCCCCTGTGGCCTTCCATTTACAGAAGGTCATAAGGTGGAAGGCAAGGAAAAACAATGGGACTTTCCAGATGTGGTGTGCTCAGACAGGGGAAAGTGGAAAGCAAATATCTTCAGAGCAATTGAGCTACAAGGAGGGACTCACTGCAAGACTCGTGGAATAGACCAAACCTTTGGAGCCAAGGCTATGTTCACCTCAGCAGAAAGAGGCCTGGCACATATGCACACTGGCTGTGCTAGGCTGTGATCCCTCATCCACCTCTTCTAGGAGAGTTTGGCTGCACACCAAGATGCGGGTACCCTTGTCAGTCATTTCTGGGCCTGCCCCCTCCCCTCCCCACTGCAATGCTGAGTTGGGGAAGTTTGATGAAGGCAGTGCAGAGATTATGGCCCTGTTCCTTTCCCTTGCCTCATCAGCACACTGGGCAGAGCATCCTTATGTAACTCCTCTAGGTACCACTAGAAGCTACTAGTGGTAGCTTCAGCTGCCACTTGCTTAGAGTTCCCTCCAGCTGCTCCATTCTTACATATTAGGAACTTTGACACTAGCCATCTGTCTTTTCCCATACCTTCCTTTTCCTTTTCCACTGAAATAGCACCTTTTTTCCATGGTATCCTTTGTTAGCACTTCCACCTCTGTCATTTTCAAGGAAGTAAAACCTGCTCAGGGGAGCATTATCAGGGCAGGTTTAACATACTCTGGTACTTCCCCAGCAACTCACCATATTCAGCAGTGGGCCACTGAGGGCCTTCCTGAGTCAGAGGCTACAGACATGCTTGAATTTAACAGCATCAGAGGAACTTTTTTTCACAAATACAAGTAACTGTTCTTTTAATCCATGTACGAATTTATCTCTAATACATTCTGATGCATTGAGCTCTGTCATTTCATTACGTGTGATATGCCTATCCCTGTTCCCTCTCATCATTTTTCTGGGCAGTGCTTCCAGTTCTACTCTGCTTTTTTTGAGGATCAGTGACAACAAGTCCATGTAATGATGCACCCCATTCTCAGGCCCTGTACTCATGTCCCATATGCTCTCCATTCCACATACAAGTCAAATTGACAGATACTGAGGATAATATCACTTCAAAGTCTACTATTCCAAGCTCAAGATCTCTCAGCTGCTGCTCTATCAGTAAAATGTTGGCTGTGTATTTTGCAACTTTCTTGTATGAACAGGGTCACTTGTTCAGACAGAGCCTCGAGAACATCGCTCTGTGTGGCTTCACTCAGCTAGGAGCACTGCCACTCAGCCACACCTCCCCATCTGATTTCAGGTTTTGTGCCAAATTAACCTGATCACAGGAAAAGCCCCCCATTGGGGAGGGGGGGGAAGGCTTTTTCTGTCTGTAGGGGTAGAGCCTCTGAGGATTTTGTTGGCAGCTGCTATGTGAGCTCCCGCAGTGCCTTGCTGACAGGGATCATCCTGGCTCCTGATAGACCACCAAAGGGATAAGAGGATTACGCTGCCTCCAGGACTATTCAGCCTTGCTTTTGTGGTGCTGGGTTTCTGAGAGACACCTGCGCAGAGCGGCCAGAGCAACACAAGTCACTTTTTGGATGGCCACGGCTTGGCTGCATGCAGATCTCTCACACCCTCTGAGCTGGTGTCCCACAACCATCTTGACTCTGTCCATGCAGCTTCTGTCTCCGGCCAGCCTGACTCCAACCAGCATTTCTGCTGAGTCTCATTTCAAGCTGCGCACTCTTGTTTGCCCTAATAGACAGGCCTGAACGAGACACTAGATGGCAGCAGCAGTCCCAGAAGATCTGCTCTAAGCCACTGCTGGGTTTACTGCTCGCTGGTTTGTTTCCCCAGAAATGCTTTCACCTCGTTGTTTGGTGCCCCTTAAGTTAAACCAGCTGGAGAAGATGACTAAAAGGAGTTATACTGAATCCTAGAGAGGAGTCACTACTGTCTTTTACCGTATTAGGGGTGATTCCGCCCAGCCATCCTGCCCCTTTTTTTTTATACAACCAGCAGGGCATTTATCCCCCAGCTCTGCCACTGCCTTTTGCATGGTGTGGGTGGGAGACTGCCACACTGTTTTATACTTCTGGCTGCCCACTGTTAGGGGAGCTGAACCCCACTATCACAATCCTGACAATTGCTTTGGGATTAGGCAATGGAAAAAGAAAAAGAAAAAGAAAAAGAAAAAGAAAAAGAAAAAGAAAAAGAAAAAGAAAAAGAAAAAGAAAAAGAAAAAGAAAAAGAAAAAGAAAA